AGCCGTTAACTCCGACTGACAACAACCGTTAGAGGAACATAACGTCAAACAACACGCTGTGTGGACTTAATAATACATGACAGGGCGTTAATAATGAAATAATATACAGTTTACAGTTGACTGGAGGTTTGTATGACAGTCCACATCACTTTACAGTTTTGATTGTGTCTTTAATTATTATTATTTTATTACCGTATGTCTTCATAGTTTATTTTATTTTATATCACAATTTACCACTATTTATCCAAGCAAAAAAACGTTTTAATAGGAATAACGGTAATCTAGGCTATGTTAACGGTAGAGTAGAAAAAGACGTTACAGCTAATATACACATTATTAACAGGTAAATTCAAGAGTAAAATTTAATTTAATTTACCTGTTGGTTGGGCATCAGCATCAATAATTGGATCTGATGTAGATGCCGCCTTCTCCTGTGGCTCCTAATCCTCCTCATCATTCGCTGATTGTATCTATTTATTATTTGCAGCAACAGTGCTGTGAACAACGTTATTTCCTCTAACGCCATGTTTCGTCTCCTAGGAGACGGACCAGCTGGACCCAAACGGAAGTGACGTGTACACAACTGTCCCAATTCTCCTTTTTAAACAGCATTGGCCCCTTACGCACTTACGCCCCTAACTGCACATTCGGCAAGTGCACTTCAGGGAAGACCTCAGGGCACAAATGCGGGTTTTTGGACAGGGCCTATGAGAAACTTTCTCAAAATGACTTTCTTATCTCAAAATAATGAGTTAATATAGTTACCAAGTTTGTTATTCTAATGACTTACAGCATCTTTTTTTTCATCACACTGGTGAAACTGGGCTTCCATACAATCTGATCACTTTCCGTCACCATGATATGAAATATCAACTTTGTTTACTTTTTTATTTTCAAATTCCGTTTTAGTGAAACACTGTTTACGTCACTAGTATTATATAGAGATTCAGTCACAGTTTTTGTTTCATTAAGTCTGCTGGACACATATGTGGTGTTATCTGATATGTGAATGTCTGCCTGTATCTCTGATTATGATTGACGCTTACCGCCATGTAAGGCCTGCAGCCTGCATCTCTGGTCTTGGCTATGGAGTCCACCAGCTGACCGCTGATGCCAAAATCACACAGCTTGATATTACCCTTTCGGTCCATTAGAATGTTGGAAGGTTTGATGTCTAAAATGACAAGAACAGAAAGTTTCATACAGAATAACAGCAGAATTCATCCAACATTTAAAATGGTAGAACCGATGTAAATGATTTGATACTGTGAACAACTAATACTGTGTGCTGACATTAAATACCAGCTATCTTTCAATTAGATGAGATGGCTTTTACTTAATATTCCATAAATATTAGATCTGAATTTTAATGACTTGAAATATTTTAACAATAAGACTTACCTCTGTGAATTATTTTCAAGTTTTCTTTTAAGTGGTTCAGTGCTTTAACGGTCTGTTAAAGACAAAATAAGACACATCACTTCTGTTTCCGTGATATGCATGCGTGTAAAATCAAAATGTATAAGGAAAAAGTGACTCATCTACTCACCGCTAATGTTATTTTGCCTAATATTTCCTCTGGAATGACGTGATCTAATGCACAATATACATATTTGTAGAATTTGTCTAATGAGGTAGCCATAAGTTCCATACAAATCCAACAGTCCCCCTGAAATAGACAGTCAAAGGTTAGTAACTGATATCTGACGCAGCCGCAGGATTCACTGGTTATCACTGAAATATTAGATTCCATATGAGTGCTGCTACATAGTAAACACTAGGGGTGTAATGGTACACAAAATGTCTAATTCGGTATATGACTTGGTTTTGTTATTTTTGTGATTTAGACACAAATTATTCTCTACTATACTCAACTAACTCGGCTAACCAGGCTCAGCCAGCTGGCATCCTACATCTCACAGACAGCAACTGTATGCTGCCAAAGCTTTGTGGGTAACTTGTGCTCTAGAATTTCTGTTCCGCATATTAAAGTACTAGACAGTACAAGACTATTCTGACTGTCTGGGTCACAGGACGTACCAAATGTACATTGCATAAAGAACCAAAGGTGCTATAATGAATACACATACCGTTACACCCCTAGTAAACAATCAGTGTGGTCACAGACAAGACAGGATGATGTAGTGCTTTCAGACCTCTCTGAAGAGAGCGCCGTAGAACTGAACAATGTAGGGACAGTCACTACTCCTCATCACCACGTCAAGATCCATCAGCAGCTGCTTCTGCTCCTTCTCATCCACAGTGGAGCGAATCCTCTGAGAGACACAAACACACTGACACTTCAGACTTATTCTTCCTTTCCTGATCATCTACTTGTGACAGTCAAAATCAGACAGAGCCATAAGTCGTGAGAATCTTGAATAAGTGAAATAACTTCTTCAGGGCGAAATAGAAATTGGCCTTGAGGGCAGTGGTAACCTCCTGTATTTTGATTCACTGTTGTTCTGGATGAGGTAAACTCAGGTAAAGTGAGGAGTCTATAAGCACCTTGACAGCCATGATCTGGCCCGTGGGTTTGTGGACCATCTTGTTGACGGAGCCATACGCCCCGCGACCGATCTCCCCGAGGTCTCTTAGATCCTCTGCAGTGAAGTCACAATGCTGCTCTGGAGAGATCTTCAGCTTCCCTGACGACTCGATACTGTGTGTACGCAAGCGCTCTCTGGAGGAGCACAGAGGACAGGATGAGTCAGGATTGGATGAGGTAACAGATAAGACAGAGAAGGAGGAAGACTCCACAGGAAGGGGAAGGAGGAAGTAGAGAAAGAGCCATGACAGGAACATGCATTATAGATTAATGTAGATAGGATAAATATTTAAAACCATGTGGCTTTGTAATCTGAGATTTCCTATATGAATGGACTCTTTGAGGGGCTGATTTGAAAGTATGAAGGCAGGCTGGAAAGTCTGCTGTAGATCACTTCCTGCCTCCATCCCCCAAAATGACAAAGGTGAGGATGGAAAGAAAGACAAATATATCAACCCACCATCAGGTCAATTTGAGAAAACTTGTTTGTTCCTTGGACTGGCTGAAATACAGGATCCACTGGCCAAGATGTATTATCTAAAGCCGACAGAGTTCCCATTAGATCTGGTCATCAGCCGCCTCTACTTACATGTGAGGGTTCTGGAAAGACGGAGCCGTTGGATGGAGTGGAAGCCGAGAGGCTGGTTTCACTGGAGGGCTGGCGAAATTCAGCTTCAGAGCTTTGCGTTTACCTGGCAGGACAAAGAGACAGAAACAGATACAGATTCCCAAAACATGCACACCACACTGTGGGCTCAGCCAGCTGGTACACACAGTGTGATCTTACCTCAGCAGCCTCTGTCTCTACACACTTGAGATAAGCCTTTACATAAGTGCAATTAGAGATCCATGCCACAAAACGTTCATATGACCAGGTTCCAGGTATCTGTGCTTTGTACAGCTAGATCTGGCTAACAGGTCAGTTGAGATTGGTGTGGAGAAAACTTTTGTGGCATAATTTTAAGATCCTGTTTATGACCTTTGGGTTATCTCAAGCTCCTCTTAAGATCAGAGGAAGCACAAAATGCATTTTGAACACAAGCAAAGTGCCCAGATGTTCAGGGGTTCCCAATACTCAGACATTGCACCTGTTCTTTGAGCTCTAGAGGATTTTATTTCATCCAAATTGTGTATTTATTCAAGTTATTGGAATGTCAAAAAGAGCCCCACTGCAGGATGCTGACATTGGAAATCCCTGTCCAAGACATTTCCATTTCCACTTTCTTAAAAATGTGCAATTCAAACCTGAACCGTTCCCTCAAGATATCAAAGTAACCCAACACTTAGATAGCACTTGATTCCAATTTAAAACACAGCAAATGTGTCCGTTACCTGTAAGTGCCTATTAGGATGCATCTCTAGAATATAAGTGGCGATTAGGCTAGCTTCTATGCAAAGTGCTGAGTTTAAGTGTTGGGTCGTCTTTGCCATGCCCTGTGTAACCAGCTCCTGAGTGCAAACAGATCCCTTAACCTTTAAGCCCCGGTGCAAATAAATCTCTCTTGGCCATAACTGCATTTGTGACAGTTAACAACAGTGAACAGTGGACAGACTCCCCAACTACCAGAGCACCACACAGGCAGTGTCAATAGTATACAGTGGCTTCCTTTCACCTATTTTATCCAATTAAATATGAGCATGATAAATACATCAAGAACCTGGAACTCAATAATGACGCTGACTGATGACTACGCAGCCAATGACTGAACAGAAACAGCTCAATGAGAGTCAGTGAGGAAAGGAAACCACTTTAGACTACTGAGGTGTACCCACAAAGAGCAGAGGTCGGTGTGCTTTGTGTGCGAGTCTATAGCTTACTTTGGGGCACTCCAGACAGGCTTATCTGAAACCCTGAAGTAAAGAAAAAACATTTTACTACATTTTCTTAGGGCTTGTTTGAGTGTTAGGGGGTCACTTTCAGTAGTGCCATTCCAGCAAGAGCCAATGCTGAAAGTGGAATACAGGGCAGGTTGCTTTGAATGGTAAAAGAAGCACCATATTTTGGAAGGTCTAGTTCAGCGCACTGCTATGCAGCTGTACCATCTGTAACTTGATATGGTTCTGTTGTATTCCCAGTGGAATTAGGGATAGTCCAGTTTTACCAAGTTTAGTCAACACTTGCCCATTAGCAGAATGTATTGAAATATTTCATTGTTTTGTTTCATCTTTTTGTTACTCTCTGCAGTTATCACTTATTCATTGATCATTACTTATTTATTACTATCAACATTAAACAATAAAAATGAGACAGAAAAGTGGCGGATGGTTTGCCAATCTCGTTTTAGTGGCATATTTTAATTATAAGTGCTACATCACTGTTGACTGTTGGTGTGCTGCTGCTGTTCTTTTGACATAACACATCACGAGGCAAAACTTTTGCACACCTGAGTTTGACAGGTGCAAAGGAGAGGACCATGGGCCGATTATCATAGAACAAAGACCTCCCACACACTGTTTGCTACACTTTCAACAATAGGAAATTCATTGGAAACAAGAACAATATATCGGTACTGAGACCTTTATCATATATATCTTCTACTTATCTTCTGGGTAACTTTTATGTAGTTATCTTCCAGATATCTGTTATATGTTATATTCTAGAATAAGTCCAAGATAATTATCTTCTAGTTTTCTTCCAGATATTTCCTAGATAGATATCTTCTTATCTTCTAGATATCTCCTACATATTTATCTTCCAGATTTCCCCTAGATAATTATCTTCTAGATATCTACTCGATAGTTAGCTTTCACTTTTCTTCCAGATATCTAGGTATTCTAGGTATCTCCTAGACAGTTATCTTCTCATTATTTTCTAGGTATCACCTAGATAGTAATCTTCTAGTTATCTTCTAGATATCTCCTAGGTACTTATCATCGAGATATCTCCTTGACAGTAGTCTTGTAGTTATCTCCTGGATATCTCCAACATAGTTATCTTCAAAGTATCTCCTGGATAACCTGATAAAGGTTTCTGTACTGAAATATTGTTCTTGTTCTCAGCAAACTCTGTAAGTAAACTATTCTTGCAAGTGTGGGAGACAGTGTGTGGACGTTCTTTATTCTATTCCATAAGATATGAAATAATGATATGTTACTTGTTACAGCATCATGATATGAGGAAAATATACAATATGCGATACAAAAACCCACAAAAAAGATATTACTTGGGGTAGATAAACAGATATTAAAGTGTATTCAGTTTTCTGCTGCATTCACTATTCTGCTAAAATACAACAAATTGCTTATTGAATTAGAACAATGAAAAAAAATATTCCCTGCATTCTTTTGCTAAACAAATTGAACACTGAATTGAACACAAAAGGCACCAATGAAAAAAGGAATTATAAGCTAATTTTCTAAATGCAGCTTTCAACTGATACTTTCAACTAACTATAAAATCCCTGAGTGCCATGCTGCTGTCATTTACGATGTGTTTATTGTGCAAGTTGACATTGTGATGACGCGAGAAAATAAAATTGTGCAGTCCTACTACTCATGTTCCACTGATATGTTCCACTTCTGTGGTGACAGTATGCCACATACATGATAAAGCTGTTTCACTGACATACTGCACTTCTTACCTTTTAAAAAAGACATAACTGGGGATGACGTTACAGGACTGGTAATAGTGTCTTTTATCCTTGTAGAGCAAGTATCATCTAACTCTGTGTATGTATTGTTTATTTTGACCAAACCAGAGTTGGCAATTGTTAATATAGTGTAAAGACGAACAGAGATGGTTTAAGTAAGTTTTATTTTGTTTCTGTCAAGTTTGAATGAAGTGTGTTTTACGATATATTAACGAGTTAAAATTACGCTAGTCCTACAACAGTGAAAGAGACCAACCTGGAATCATCAAGTGTATGGTTGTATTTTTCTGTTTAATATGGAAAATAGGTGTAAGAATATTTACTTTCTTGACATTTTTTTGTTTATTTTGTGTATTAATTAGACTAAAAAAGCTACGAGAGCTTGTGGAATGTGGTGAACTAGCCACTTACACAAATATTATCATATACCATAAAACCCGGGTATGAAAAACAGATTATGCCCAAGCTTAATTGACAGTCTGTTTATATGTAGGAGAAGAGTAACGCACACCGCAGATTGTCTTGTTGAGGTGGTGGCGGAATTTTATTTAGGACAACATTTCGGCACAGGGCCTTTGTCAAGTCTCAACACTTGACAAAGGCCCTGTGCCGAAACGTTGTCCTAAATAAAATTCCTTTTTTATTTGGAGCTGAGTGTGCGGCGTTCCCTCTTTTTTCAAGTCTGAATATGTGCCATAAGTCAGTCGAACAGCAGCACTGTTAACACCATAAGTTAAAAGTGGCATACCACTAAGAAGTGTTTGATATCTGTGCTGAGGAAAACACTCCCAGACAGGGCTGTTTGATGCAGTGTCTCACCGTGGGGTCTGTCTACTGTGTCTTTATACGATCATTCTAATATGGGAACAGGCAGATAAGTGGATAAAACAAACAGAAACACAAATGATCAACAGAGGAAGGTGGATGGGGAACATTTCAAGGAATCCCTTTGCCAGCACATGTCCTGATCAAACATAATATAAACACACAATCCCCAACAGCAGGCTAAAATCTTGTAAAATAAGTGTGAATACCTGTTTCATTTTGACATCTCCAGCAGCTGTTGGTTTCTGTAAGGTTTAGATAAAACATTTGATACTAGACATCTGCCACAGAGTAAGAAATACAACTCAAGATGTGTTGACCACTGGATACATGACTGTACTGCTGTTTAATAGATATCTAAAAGTCAACCCATCAATGGACGTGTCGTCCGTTATCCACCATCAACACATCCATTATCGGACACAACCCTGTCTTACTGATCTATGTCTTTTTCCAGTAAGATTTAGCCATCACAAAAAGGTACAGGCTACTGTATGCAAACTGGTTACCAATATGCTGGGTGTGCCTGCATACAAGTGTTTATAAGTAACATAATAACTTGATTATGATCCCAAATCAGTTAACGTTACTAGGGGTGGGAGGATCGATACCAAAATATTAATACCACATTTTCAATTCTTGCATCAATAGGATCGATACCAAGCAATGATTAGTTTGTCCCTTCTACATCCTACCTATTTGTATGATGTACTGTTTGCTTTTCCAATGCTTTTGTGTTGTCTGCGCTCAAACAACATATGCTCCACATACCGTGGCCTCCAACCTGACTTGTTTAATCTGACACGTAATAGCAGTGATGGCTTAATGAAAAAGAAAAGACCATGAGAAAGAGAACTTGGAGCTGCAACTGAAGAGAAGGGGGGGAGGGAAATGCCTCAGCATCCAGACCCCCAACACAGACACAGAGTTCACTTGTCACAGTCTTTTCAAAGAGGCTGAGGCAATAATTATCCAGGTGTATGGCAGTGAAATTAATATTTTAGTCTTTTAAGATCTGCAGCATTGGTTAGTGTTACAATCATCATAGCTGTTACTTTAGCAGACTGATTGTTCAACTCAAAATCATGACACACTGCTTTACCCTACACTAAAGTAGCCACTGTTATTAATAAAAAGTATTGTACAGGTATTGATATCAGCGATTCAGGCCCTGTATAAGTATCGAATCAAAACTAAATTTAGTGGTATCGCCCACCCCTGAACGTTACCACAGATCCATCCACCTCAGCTGGCACTGGATGCTGCTTTGCCATTTTCTATAAGGACTTTCTGACTTGTACCAGTGGGCACTGATATAGCTCACATCTTATAGAGACATTCGTGACTGAATGGTCAAATAGGCAAAAACAATTCTCTGCTAACCAAAGGATTGGCTTCTTGTCCGATAATGAATTTAGAGAGCAGACTCTAGCAGTTAGCTTAAATTGTACAGACCTGCATCACATTATCAAACGACAGACATATTGTTTGAGTTACTAACGTTACATTAGCTGTGTTACAGACTGAGGTGTTTATCACATTGACGTTATCTAACGTTCACGACACACTAAACGAGAAAGACCTCGTGATGTTGTCAGGGGACTAAAGCAATATCGTTTTAAGACGATAAATAGAGCGATTATATTTAACTTTAACTGTATATTCACAGACAGCGGTGCATTCAAACAGTGGCCTGGCTCAGTGGAGAGAAACACTTGAGTGTAGGCCTTGGTGCTACTTTAGCAGCCTGGTGCTAATAATATCGGTGATTAGACGTTCATAAAATGCATCTTTACGATGCCACACGTTGATTTAAGTTTTGTTTCTAATGAAAATAGTGTCAGACTAAAGGAATGAAGACACTGTGCCTCCACAGGTCAGTCGGATCAGCAGCTAAACATGGGTTACTGCATCACTGCTAACTGGGAGCCGTGTAGTTTCAGGGAGCTACTTCAAGCTAGCCAATGAAAGCTAGAGCATTAGCGGAAACTACGCAATTCGCACTTCAAAATAAAAGCGTACAGTTTGACAAGCTAATGTCACAACAGAGATCATACTTGAATTCATGATGTATTTAGTTTAACAATTTGTATGATACTAAGGGACTGTTCGTTATATATGAGAGGGGAGTGGGTGGTGCAAAACTTCAATTAATTTTTCTAGTATTGGGGAGGGAGTTTTTCAATCTGGCTTAAGGGAGGGACATTTAACTTTCAGTGGTTGCATTTTGTATTTCTTTTAGACAGCCTCAGAACCCCCAAACCCACAAGTGGATTTAAAAGGCATTTTTTCTCTGAAGACTTACAAATCACATCATTTATCATAACCAGGAACTGTGAAATATGGTCATTTCTAATGATTCCCCCAGTCACTCAGGGAGGCATAAGAAAAATAAAATATAAAATATAATAAAAATACTTATATCTCAGAGGAAGGCTATGATTTAAAAGAAAAACCCAAGAGATCACNCCCCCCCCACCCCCCCCGATACATAGTGAACAGTCCCTAAGCAATAGTTGAAGTTTCTGAATTGTCAAATTTTTAGGTTTACTAAGTGTGCCATGTCAACACCGAACCCTAGTGCTAATTTTACTATTACATATTACTATCCAGTGTTGGTCAACAACATGTCACGGATTATATAGGATTGGTGGTCAGGGTTAGAAATTAACCTCTAAGTGCACCTGCCACTGTGGCTGGTTGATTCCAAAATCTACCAGCCACTCAGTAGATTGCCAATATTTTCTTTTGGCTGGCGAGTGAAACAAATCTACAGCCACTTGTATATTTTTTCCTTTCTTTGATTTTTCCTTTGCATATTTTGCAAGCATTTGACAGCTGGTTTGGCCCGTTAGTAGTGTTCACCCCATGGCCCGCTGTATTTACTAACAATACAAAACTTACAACACTTGACAGTGTCAAACCGAACTCTACATTTAACATCTACATAAGTACAACATTCAAAAATTCTCAATTAACAAAATCGCATTTATAAACATTAACAAATGTTCAATGGTATGTCTTATAGACAACAACGGGGATCTTATTTTGAAAATTCTGACCGGAAGTGTATGATTATTCTGTGGCTTTTTTTTGCTTCTGGGAAGCTACAACCTACATTTTCCTACTAACTCCAGAGTCTTCAGTAGAAATGGAAAGATGTGAAATAAAGGTCACAGCCTACCTTGCATGCTGCTGCTCTGTGTCTGCGGGTGAAAATGGTGCGACGTGGATCCGACTATGCTGCTGCTGTTGCTGGAGCTTGTGGAGTTGCTGTCAGGACTGGGAGTCGCCATTGTTGTGTTGTATTCCTGTGGGCAACAGCAGCGCTCAGGCTGCAGTGCAGAGTCAAACTTCCTCTCTGCCTCCACCAAACGGGACACTGCGACACTTGAACGCAGCAGCTGCGCCACGGCCACGTCTGTGCCGCAGCTGCCTTCAAGGTGTGTCGGAAATACCGATATCATGACTTTATAACGTAATTGTTGACACATTTCTAGTTTTCATGCAAATAAGCACACTCTGCATATTATACCTCCCTCTTTATCTCATCACACCCCACGTCCTATATTGTATACACCGTATCAACTCAATTTTCCACTTTTATCTTATCTAATTAAACAAACTGGTAAACACAAAAGTAGGTATGCTCCTTTAACCTGCACTGCTACTGTGATGCTGTAGCACTTTGTCCCTCCTGATTCTGATTCACAGTCTTTGTGTTGTTTGAGTCACACAACTGAGTGATTAGCAGTGTTTTATTTTTCACTTACATTTCACAGTTGCATTCTTGTCAATGTTACATGTGTCATATAGCATTTAGCATTAGCATCATTCTTGACCTTTGAAATGGTAGTTCGACAAAATAACCCTAATTCCAGGTCCACTTTCCAGTGGTGGGATCAAGTCATTGTTTTGCAAGTCACAAGTAAATCTCAAGTCTTTGCCCTGAAGTCCCGAGTCAAGTCCACAGTCAAAATTAACAAAGCCAGACTCAAGTCCCAAATCCTAAGTCCTTAACAAGTCATAATGCACTCTTATCCAAGTGTAATGCCATTTTAACATCAGAGTAATATTTACAAGTGCAACCAAACTTAAATCATAAACAATAGTGTAGATGTTGCATTTTCATAGCAACCTCAAGTGAAATTCAAGTAAAAAAAACTTAAGTAATAGAAAGTAGGAGTGTGAGAAAACATTGATATACTTGAGTATCATGCTATTTTGTTTTGTGTTGCTGCATTGATTCTCAAAAACACTATCAATTTTTAATTGATATGCAAACATTTGTAGTAGTGGTTTATTTTGTGTTGTGTTCAAACCCCCAACGCCAGATAGTGTTGTAATCCATCTTCAGCCATTTTACTCTTCCACTACAAAGTAACAACATATCACTAGCATAACCCAGCTGGCTGCTGACATTAAATTTGGTTGTAATGAAAATTAGGTTGACATTTTAAATACCTAATGATGTTAGGATACACTGGGTTTTGTTCTCCATACCTTACAACTAAACATCATTATTCTACATCAAGAGGACCTCGGCATGAAACACGGAAGATGTCAGATTTCAATTACTGAACAGTACAACAAAATATCAACGTCATCTGTTTGTTTGTCTGCTCAAATTCTACATCAAATTGATGCTGGCATTAGACCTGACATTGAATTTTAGTCATCCAACATCACAACCTAAATTCAACCAAATATCAATGTCTAACAACGCTGGTGGCCAGCTGGGACAGAACACAAGCCTATGAAACAGGCAGTCATAAAGGGGGCACTGCTAGCTCCTAAAATTTGTTTTTTTAAATTGCAATATGCCTTTGCTTACAGCAATATATTCAAAATTGAAATATAACCCCTATATGGTGATATGTATTGTATTATCAGCTTATTGCCAATACAAAGCCCTAACAGAATGCTTGTAGCCACCACCACTTTCCTTTAAACTTGAATGCAGCATAAGATACCAGAGATGTGGATGGGATATTCGGCCAGACACAGATGTGCAACTACTGCTGGTGTAAAGATTTTATTACCAGTTGCATTGTTTTACATTGCTGATCTTCTCACCTAAAAACTGGGTAATATATCAGTTATAGTTAGCAGTACACTGCACAATACAGTACTCAGCAAATAATATGTTAAAATCACTTCATCATCACCTCATCTGAGAAAAACACAGGAAAGCCTGTGTCATGGGAGATTTTCTTTCTTGTAAAGTGACCTGTGTAAAATTCCCTGACTTCTCCAAAGAATGTGACAAACATCCTCTAAATGTCCCGGTCCAGAATATACCTCTCTAAATAAAAAAATATTGCCTTGACAGCATCTGAATTACAGCATGTGTCATATTGCCCTATGACCTGGGTCACTTTGGCATAGAAACAGAAGCACTCGATCTCGAATCCTCCCGTTGCCTTTCAGCACCATCCTGTCCTCGTACACAGACACCGTGCCGAAGGCGTTACTGTTGGGTGGAGTCTCGATCACCCCTTCTAATGTCAGGTGGTGCACTCCCATGGTTTTATCTAGGTAGTATCCACCGTTGTGGTCATGTCCAGCCATGAAACACACCACACTGCTGTGGGATTGTATGATGGCCAAGAGCTCATCGAAGTTCCAAGCGAGGCAGACAGGATCTGTGGAGTAGGGGTGGACAGGCAGGTGACCTGGGCAAGAAGACAAACAATAAGGTTTTTTATAACTGATGCAGCAGGACAGCAGATGATGTAAACACTATATTTCACAGCCTGTAACCAAGCTCCCCCCTGTACACCTTGTATTGTGTTTTGGATGATATGATTCAATCAGGTAGTGCTTGACCACATGTAAGTACAGGTATAACTGTTCTAAATCAGCAATGCAGCAGCAATTTGCCAGTTAGCAAGCTGAGCTGCTAGCTGGAAAGCAGCAAGACAGCTTATCCACATACACAGTAAGTTTGACACCCAGTCTTCATCTGGAAAAGTTGCTATTATGGTTGTGCGATGTTGATTTCCATTGTTCAAAATTAAATAAATGAGAAATAAGATGTCAGGAATCAAAATTAATCTGAGTAACTGACACTTTGTAAAAGCAATAGGTTTCACTTACTGACAATTGTGACTCTTTCCTGTTTATTGTCGGCCGCAGACAGAACAGAATCTAGCCAGTCCAGCTGGTCCTTACTGAAACCACCGTTGAACATTGTAAACCTCTGCAACAGGCTCTCAGCCACTGAAACAAAAGAAGAGACAATTAAAACTACTTGATGGGACTAACAGTGAAAGACTGTAGGCTGAAGTTGGCTTCTCATTCAAGAGTTAAGTAATGAAAATTCTATGTCTTTTAGAGTAAAGGTTTCAAAAAATCTTAAAGCAGTTAAAACCACATAGACTGTTTTTTCTCCAACACAAATACCGTCTTATACCATACACACCAGTGAAACATCAGGAAGGTATGAAGGTATGAGAAAATAGATACTGCCAAACCCTATCAGGATACACCCTGTACAGGTCACCAGACCATCACTGGACTGACACGGTGACAGACAACCATTCACACAAATGGACATGTCATCAATTAACCTCACCTGCACCTTTGGACTGTGAGAGGGAGCCAGTGTTGTGATGAAGACTGTTTCCTCCTACCTAAGCCTGAATCAGTCCCTTTCCCATAACCCAAACCAACACCCAGACACAGAAGTACGGCTGGTGGGCTTGAACCCGGATCCCTTCTTGCTGTGAGGTGTCATTGTTACCCACTGCACTATTTTTGCACAGCCCCTGGTCAATACTTTGCACATTCATACACAGAACTGTACAGATCTTTAAAAACGGATATTTTTTTACATACATCTTTTTCCTTTTTTTCTTTTTTATTGTAAATGTCTTGACTTTTGCACTGAATCACCAACACAAATTCCTTTGCAAACCTACTTGGCAATACAAATGTTTCTGGATTCTGATTAAAAATACACCACAAATATGATATTTAAATACATTTTTGATAAATTGTATTGTATTGAATTTAATATTATCATAATAAATATTTACCTATTCACAAAATAAAAGTGTGACTAGTTTGCCAGCATACCTGGGGGACAGTTGAGATCCTCGTTGTTGTTGTACTGTCTTATCAAAGTCAGAGCCTCGCTGTACTGTCCGCTGGACTTGTCTCTGCCCAGCAGGCTCACATCGTAGGCATCCAGGACCACAAATGTAAAGCCGGGGAACGGGCTGAAGCTGTAGGCATAGATGTCACTGCCGGGCCGGGCTCCACTCAGGCTCCCGTCAGTGAGCGGTGTGCTGTTGAGCTTTGAACGCAGCAGCGCGCTCCTGCTGAAGTTATAAAACTCGTGGTTCCCCCACACATGGTGGACCTCCACGGGGCTGGAGCTGAACTCTCTCAGCACGGTGTCCAGCGCTCGGTCTGAGGCGCCGGGGCCCTTGTTGAAGCCGTCGATAATGTCTCCCAGCTGGAGGATAAACTCGGGTTTGACAGCCGACTCTGACCAACTATCCTGGGCTTGCCTCAGCAGCTGGAGGCTGCTCCGGTAGTACCGCCTCCTCGTCCGGGAATAATTGTATCCGTCGTCGAGGTCTGCGTACTGAATGTCAGCTATCACACCGAATGTAAACAGCGGCGTTTGTTGGGGACAGTCGTCCATCCTGGATGCTGTCTTCGAAATAAATAGTGTCCGAGTCCGAGGGAGTATAGAGTTAAGTATCCACCTTATTTTCAAACACGGAAGTAAAGAGTGATCAACTTCCGTTTTTTTGTGCGTGACTTCCGGCCAGCCGCTTTCCCTCATGCTTTCCCTTACCGGAGCTAACGGTGCAAGCTAATTTTTTTTTCAATTTTCAGTTGTTTATGTTAGTCAGTTAGTTAGTTAGTTAGTTAGTCTGTGTATTTTGTATAACGTTAGATAACTGTGCCCACGTTTCCGTTATAACGGAAATTTATTCCCTCTAAACGCGAATAAATCGCACGTCAATCATAAACTATGAACCAAAAAAGCACAATCTATCCCGAGTGAGACAAACTGCTTGATCCCCGTCTCCAGTGCACCAGCAGAGAACCTGCAGAACCGAATCAGCGAAAAAACACACCGGGCTACACAGCCTCTCTACCTGAGCAGCTGAAGCTGCGGCTCGCACCCTCGACACACAGACACACAGACGGTGTTTCTGCATGCCAGCCAAACGTGTGCACAACTGTGAGAAATAAAGATGGGAGGTGTACGCTGCTTTTCTCTCTTTTTTTTCCTTTCTTTCTTTCTTTCTGTCAGCGACATACACTCCTAACACAGGACGGGTTGTTTTAATTGATTGAGTTGATCATTAAGCCATAGTGATGCGTGGATCGGCTCTGATAGCACCTGACTCAGCATGTACGCATCAACCATCCAGCCGTTACAACATGATTGAGCTAGCAAAGCAGTTTTGTGTTGCTATGTGTTGTATTTATTCAGTTTTGGGAAATCACGATGTCTAGAAAGCATCAGTGGCTGCAGCTGACAGGGACAGCTAACACTAGCAGCAAAGCTAACATCAGGATCGTCATCCGTTAAAAGCCTCCCGTTGTCGGATACAACATGAAACTACTCCAGTTAGCTCAATCATGTTGTAACTAAGACATCCGCTGGAGAAAATATTTTTTCACGGGCCACTTTGTGAGTTTAGTGAGTTATTACAGACACAGCTAATGGCTAACAGCTAACGGTTAGCCCAGCTAATCTACGATAACCATGTTATTAATTACACACAGAGAAAATACTAATGTTTGTTCAGTCATTGTGTTTATAGACTTTACAAACATCAGATTAGTCTAAACGGTGATATAGTGACGTGAAAAATGTGATATATACATACATATAGCTAAACTCAGCAAGGTAAACAACAAGGCGATTCCCATTTACACAGTGCTAAGAGTGCTGGACCGGAAGTGTCGCACAAAAAAACGGAAGCTGGCTGCGTTGTTTTGCCTCCGTGTTTCCGTGAAAAATAAGGTGGATACAGGTGACGCTGACCGGGTACCGGTAACCTCCTAACTGCCTCACATGACGAAATCCATACAGGCCGGAACTTCCGCTGACGTCCTACACGATGACAGTACATCAAAGAGTATGGATGCCAAGAGGCGAAACCCAATAGAACGCCCCATAGCAACAGACTCGCCCATGGTTTCGTCCTACCGCCGCCATTTTGGACTGTCAGCAGACAGCAGCAGACCAGCTTGAATACAAAAAAACACAGACAAACTGAAGTATATCGCTATTAATTATGCTTACAATGCTACTCACCTCGTGATAGCTTGGTCACAGCCGTTTTTGTAAAGCAAAATATAGACTTTTAAAAAAAAAAACGAAGAAAAACGGCCTAGATGACATCTCTACATATTACATCCACTTATGAGAAGATTAACTGCTTTCTCTTCTAACATTTTATATTAAACAAAAGCATTATAACAAATAAAAGCTCATCCATGTGAATAAAAATAATGTGATTACTATAACTCCAGTTTCAGTGCATTGACAAGTGCAGTTTTGCAAGTGTTATCTTACCTCCAAAACTGGCATATTAAATTGAACACTTTAAAACGTACACCTCAGGAGTTCTTATCCTTTGGAGGGAATCGCCTTCTTGTTAACAAATACGTTAGGCAATAAATGAACTACATTATGGTTGCATGACCTCAGCGTCACCACCATAACAAGACTGTAAAGCCGTGTCCAGTGCAGCTCGGTATGATCTGCAGTCTCATTTAGCCACTTGTTAGCAACCACCGTTTTAAGGATGTATAGAAGCTCAAAAGTTAACAAGTGGGTTTTTTACTGATGTATTTTATGTCGTAGAGCAAAACATTAAAGTCTCTGAAGCTTGTGTAAATCACAGACCTTATTTCAGGTACCTAACCAAAAACCCATTTAAACAATCCATTAACTTCAAGACAAGGGAACTATGAGTGCTAAAATTCGAACTCATAGCCGGGTTTTAGGACTCATTCCTGGGGAACTCTATAGTTAAAATCTAAGTAGGGGATTCTTGGCACCTTGTCTTTAGGGTTGATTTTCACGAATTTTTCTTTGTTCTTTATAATGTCTGATAAGGATGACAAAAAAGCACTTTTCTGGATCCATGAGCTGGTTAGGTTGTTGCATTTCAATGGAAAATTTAAGAAAAAAATACAGACACAACCAACCCTATTCAGTGTGACAACCAACCCCACGATGGGGATGGATGTCACAAGTGCACAAAACATAATTGAGAGTCCCTATCTCTTGAACAGATTAAGTAAAAAAATTAAATCTGTCATGACTTTGTCACATAACAAAAAAATGTGTTATTAACCACCCAACCAAATTTAAATGATTAAGAAAAAATGCCAAGTATATAAAATTAGGTTTCAAAACCATAATCGAGTAAGGTCACTGCATTCCTACATGAATTTTTAAGCTTCATTTACACATTAAAAGGGAATTTACTACATATACATTGTAACTGTCTGAACCATGAAGAAGAGGAAGTGGTTCTGGAGTTCCACAAGGGGGCACTGCACTCTATGAAAGTACACACTATGATAATCACAGTAAGTAATGGAAAGTTTCCAGTTGCTACAACCACACATCTTCATGAGGAAACACTGAAAATACAAGCTTAACAAATTTATTTACACATTCATTAATATGTTTATGTTATTTTGCCTTTTAAACATAGGTTAAAAAATGAGGATTGTGGGCTGNTATGTTTATGTTATTTTGCCTTTTAAACATAGGTTAAAAAATGAGGATTGTGGGCTGATCACACAGCTCAGTTCTCTGCTCCCTCCTCTGCTGAAGCGGTTTCCTTTTCCCCACCTGACAAAAGAAAACACACAAACACACCATCACTTAAGTTTATATTTTGATCCCAATCTCTTTCATCATCATTATATTATGTCTGGCCTCTGTGTCCCTCTGTGTTTGAAGCATTAGAGGCATACAAAAGCAACACTTCAAACTACAGTCACAAAAACAGTCATGAGGTTGAATTTATGCCTCAGAAACAACAACAGAGACTGAACTTCAGCAGATTGAAATATTTACTGCAGGTATTTCTGTTATTTTGTGCATCTCCTGTTCAGTACAGCGTAACAAGCCCAGGGGCCTCATTTATAAAAGAGTGCTTAGGATTCATACTAAAAGTTGACGTGCGCCCAAAAGCTGAAAATGGCGTGCGCCAAAAAATAATGTGATTTACAAAACCGTGTGCACGCACACTTGCACGCAATGTTCTCTTTATAAATCACAGACCTCCTGGAGTTGTGCGCACCCACATCCGCCTCATATTCCGCCCTCTACACGCCCTAGTTCAACCATAAATGGTCATGCAAATCACCTCATGAATGCGATCTGCATATAAATAAGCCAGCATGCGCGTGTTCTCTCGTTGTGTAAGTCACAGCGATGGATGAGAAACAAACCAAAAAACGGAATTTCTCCGAGACTGAGCTAGAGACCCTTTAATGGGAGGTGGAGGACTGAAGAAAGATTTTATTTGGTGGCCACAGCAGCAGGATCACTAATAAAAGAAAGCGACAACATATCAACACTGCTGATGCTGTCAGCTGTGTCTGTGGGACTGCACGGACAGTGACAGAACAAAAAAAAAAGGTGGTCTGATCTAAAGGTAGACCAAATATTTCCACTCCTTTACCAACATGTAGTTAATGTGTTGCTTTTAAATTTGAGGATGTTTGACATTGATGTGCGACATAAAGAATCACATTTATTAAAGGTGGAGGGAAAAATGAGTATGTGCCAGTGCCATCTTGCGCAATTACGCACGAGGGTCACTGCAGTATTTATATGTTTATGGCAATTAGTCTGATCAGACATCCGGCCTGAATTACAGCATGAACCAGTGGTATCCCTGTCCCAAAATACAACGTGTGATTTGAAATACAATTCAAAGATGAAAGTGTAATAGGCGAACATGTTTCTTCATGCCGGTTTTGTCATGAACAGCACATGTCTAAGTAGGGCTGATGAAATGAGTGTAACGGTTGTGCTTAATGGCTGTATTTCGAGACATGATGAATGCACTGGAAATATTTAGCTTAATAAATAAATATATTCGCGCCGTCCTCTCCCCCTCCTGCACTCACAGAGTGGACAATGAGACGTTAGAGGCAGTGCGGATTAAATACATATTTAGAAAGAATTTAAATTCAGGATCTGAGTTGGATTTTACGTTTTTATGAAACAATTATCAATCACTCCAAACGCAAAATAAGGCTGCTGGATTTAATTTCAATGATAACATGGATCTAAGGTGGATATAGCGTGACATTAAATTTGTGTGAGACATCAATAAAAATCTGACTCTACTTCTTCACCTCGCCGTCTGCGTCGCCACTTCCCAGTGTCTTCCAAAATGTGCGCACGCATGACTCAGAGTTTGCTTACAGGTGTGCACATTCTCCCGCCAAGTTTATTTTTATAAATCACAACCTTTGCGTGGTAGGTGGCGTACGCCACTTTCAAGCCCCGTTTTGTGCGTAAGCAAGCTGTATAAATGAGGGCCCAGGTCTGTCAGTGTTTCCCCTTGATAAAGTTCACCTGAGGTGTCTTTGGCTGGAGTCCATGGTGTCAGGCCAGTGATACACTTGGGAATCCACCTAAGGACAGTGGTGGAGGCCAACTCGCCCCACTTGCCCTCAGCTCGGTCCTGCACAGAACAGAGGGAGCATGAGATAAAGCTTTATATTTTTTTGTGTACAGAGAAATGCTCTGAAATATATTACTGTGACACATTTTGGTTTGTTTTACAAGCATAATGCACATATATACTTCCATCTTGATGTTTTCACAAATGACAGTAGGCCTCACTGTGTTCAGTATTTGTTACATGGAAGCACTCTGACTGTGTGCAGCAAGGCAAACATGAAAGCGTGCAAACTCCAGACTCACTGATGATACACTGCAACTTACATCACAAACTTCATATAGTTAACAAGCATCCTGAAGTTTTATAAAGTCACTCAACACAACTAGTCACATCATGCATATAAAGTCAAACATGCTCTTTTAACAGGCAAGTGTACACAGTAAGAAAGAATAATAATACTTCTGGCAGTATAATCAACAACAGCAATCCATTCTTGTGCATAAAAAGTCATTCTCATATTTGAAAATACCCCAGAAATCATCATGCAAGACACTGCTGTGTCTGAGTGATCTATGCTACTGACAAATGTTGTGTATAGAGGTTGTGGCAGCACCTCCTCTGCTCCCTCTGAGGTTCCTATGGTGAAATAACCTTCTCTGGAGCCCGGGTAGGGCAGCTTCTGTGTTTTGATATTTTGACCGTTCTCCTCATTGGTAGCTGGCTGGAGTTTCAGTGAAGAGAGGTGTCATGGTTATGTTGTGTCACAGTGTTTGTCATATCAGTGTGTACTGACAAGTTCCAGTTCTCCAGATTATAGTGAGGAAATGAAGTTGGATTGTGTTGATGTTGAGTTACCTGCTCTGCTTGGTGGTATTCACCATGCTGCTCACAGCCAGTGTCGAACACATACTTCCCCTGGCCATACGGCTGCAAAATGAGAATGGGATGGCAGAGACAACTTGAACACAGAATCCACTTTGATAATGACAAATAAAAATTCTTGGTATTGTACGTTTCTCCATTCAATGGACACGTTACATTTGTATCATATAAACATTTCTTAAGTAAAGTACTTCAGATGGCATGTATATGAGCTGAGTTCATCATACTGTCAAGGAGGGGATGTTAGATGATGTGACATGTAGGTGAGACAGCTGCATACCACTGAGACCAACAAACACAAGTATTTTTTAACAAAAGTCTGAGACATTTCCAGGTGTGCTTCTAGCATCCAAAACAGCCTTTGTTTGTCTCAAACAGTGGTCTGCTGGATTATTTTTAAATTTGGGTTCTGTCTTGTCTGCTCTCATCTGTCATGTCTCCCTCCACATAATCAAAAAAAGAAGAAGAGTTTGGGACACTTCCAGCTGTATTTATAGAAACAAGAGTGGGTAATTTAAGCCAAATCATGATGTTTTCCTAACCAAGGGATTTTTGGGCCTACACTTAATCACACATTAACCACAGCACTGTCACGACATTCAAGTGAAAACTGAAAGAAGTGTCAAGTTTCAACATATCTGCTACACCTGAAATGTACAATTGTAACAAATCTGTGGTTTGAAGAAATGTGCAATGCCAACATTTATTCTGGCAACTGGGTTGTTCCATCTGTTATTATAACTTTGTGCTTATTGACGTAATTGCTGAGATCTGGAAAAAACAAGACAACTTTGCAAAGAATGAGTCAAACAGGGCAGGTAACAGAAATTTAAGTAGATAAGCTTCCTCTTAATTTGGAGGTCAAATTGAATGTAAATGCACCTGCTTGTTAATAATTCTTGTCATAAACTGTGATGGATGTTTAAAATGTAAAGTTTGGGTAATTATTTTATCGTTTGTCTAACCTGAGAGTTCACAACCTGTCTGATCTGACTGCTCATGTTTCTTACTCAATTGGATCTATTTTTAGCAATGTTCCCACATTCTGAAATCTTTGCTATTACAAAGTTATCATAACTGATTGAACTGATGGCCAGAGCTACAAAAGTGAAACCCAAGTTGTAATTAACTGTAGTTGTGTAGAAGAGTGTAGAAGAAGTGTAGAAGAACTAAATTTAGAGCGACTGCCAAAGTGATGTAAAATGATTTACAAACATATATTTACTTTAACTGAAAACTGAGATGAAATAACTAGTACTATGTATTCTGAATTATGCTTAACCATTTGCACTATTGTTGGGATTCACAGGACCACATATGATTTGCCATTTGTTAAAATCTAAACAGGTCTCACCTCACACCTCAGTGAGACTCAAGTCCCAAAACTTGATTGGACAGGACATTTAAAGTGACAAGTGACTCTGATGTCACAGGCATCTGTAGAAGGTCTGCTCCCTTCAGACAACTCACTCTTACTCAGGAACTGAGGAGCAGCCCACACCTTTTTCCTGCTGGGCCTGGAACAGCCCAGATGCTCAGACCCTTGCTCCTTGTCCTGAACCATCAAAGGTGGGGCAGTTGATCACAGACTCTCTAATCTGAACCAGAAAGTTAGAGGTGCAAGCACAAGGTTTGCAACTAGCTTTCCAGCAACAAGGAACTAAGTGAGTTAGCACCCAGCGTCTAACTCTGCAAGGACCCAGAGCGACTGGCTTCCTCGGATCAGAACCTTTGGAACAAGGACACAGCAAAGACTGCAGCTGGAACCACAGCCACTCCCAGCCTTCTTCTGCCAGCTAACAAAGCAGTACACCACCAAGTGACTCTTTCTCCCATCCACTCAAGGATCGGTAATGTAACAACTGGGCATAGCTTATCACAGCTTTACAGGCTAAGCAAGACTGTTTAACTTGTTGTATGTGATTTAATGCTGTCATTGAGTTATTGTTGTGGTTGTTTGCAGTTAGGTCATTGGTTAGTTGGCTTTGCCAAAGCTAAGTGTTTAGTTTGCTAATACTGTTCACAACAGATTCTTGCACACAACAACTTCTTTTCCTTTGTCTTTGTCTGACCGTGTGGTCAGAACAAAGACAAAGGAAAAGGAACACCTCCCCCGACCTGAAGCCAGCTTTGATTCGGACATTTTGTAGTTCTCTGTTGTCAGCCATTTTGTTTTGTAGGCCAAACGGCTCTTTGATCACCACACCCGACTTTTTCTTTCTCTCTCTCTCTCACACACACACACACACACACACACACACACACCAGGCTTGTATATAGTTAGAATTTGTGTGTTTTGGTTTGCTTTGCTAGTTTGTGAATAAATATAATTCTTTAGAATCATACCTGCTGTCTGTTTAATGTTGCACAAGAGTGAATGAATAGTCAACCTCTGCTGCGTCAAGAACTCCGAGATCCTTCAGGCGTTACTGTTAATTTTGGTTGTTGTCATTAATTTAATTATTCATCAAAACTCCAAATTAATAGTTTAGCGTATTTTATGAGACTGATATCTTTAACTGGCTATCATTTTTCCCTTTACAGGAATGGTGCACCACGAGGTGATTTAATTTTAATTAATTACATTATTTAACATAATTATTAATTATTATTAATTATTTCCGATAGCCAATTGACCCCAACATAATTGGTGCCTCCATGTGATGACCTAATATGTTGATCACAACATATTTGGTGCCGCCGTGTGAGACCTAAAATTATGTTCCCAAAATATATACGTTGATCCCAACACTATTATCATCTGACAGAGACTGATCTGGCCTGGCATAAATTAACCAAACTATTTAGACTATTTGCTCCCCTGCAAACCCAAATCACACCACAGTGAAAGATGTTACATATTTCATCAATCACTGACCAAGCATTTTGTGAATTGGGAAGTAGAACTCACATTATTGTTGACAAAGTTACCCTTGTATCTGTGGTTAGAGTGGATGTACTCTCCAGCTGACTCCATCTTGCCATTCACCCATGAGCCCTTGTATTCTGAGCCAGTTTCCTTGTAGTGGTAAACGCCCTGGCCATGCCTGGATATCACACAACACCAAGGACGTTTTAAAATCCCCATTTTCTGTAACTAATGAGAATAAATTTGGTAATGTACAGGTAAAAAGACAACATTGTTTAAACTAGTCTAAATTTGGTTGAGCAGTGAAAGGTTTTGATACATCCAAGTTATAGATAACTACTGTATGTTAAAATACAGTCATTTAATGTTGTTGAAACAACACATACATAGATATCTAAAAAATGTCATCACCATATGTTGTTTGACCTGCAAATCAACAAATCCACACTGAAAAGCATATTTCTATTTTCTACAGCAGTGATGTCCCAAGATAAATCACATGTATAGTTGTGTATTTGTATCACTGAGTTTAGATAAAAGAAATCAAGCAGTCTTTAAATCAAGGACACACAGGAAAAAGCGTGACTCAACACTGCAGAAGGATGTGTGCTTTCAGAAATTAACTATAAATGTCTCAATGAAATGCACTTGTGATTTTAAAACTGTAGATATACCTTGTATGATGCAGCCACTCTCCATCATAGGTGTCACCATTAGGGTAAGTGTAGACACCATGACCCTGTCTCAGTTCCTCAACCCACGACCCTGACAGACACAGAGGGGTAGCATAGTTTGTTTCTATAAGTCTGTGTCGGGGCTTTAGTTACACCCATGTCAGTTGAAAAGTTTGAAACCTTTACAGCACTCATACTATTGAAACACACACTGATGAAATGCAGAAGCTGGCAACTATCTGAACTCATATGCTCTTTATACCTTCATATTTAGATCCATCTGGATAGTAGAAGGTGCCCTGTCCATGTTTCACGTTCTGGTAATAGTCTCCCACATATCTTGCCCCATTCTTGAAGCGATATGTCCCCTGTAAGACAAAACAGGCAAAGATCAATAGACATTAGTCAAAGAGAATATTCTTATCCAGGTAAGATAATAGAAAACACTGTGTTAATAATAGAAATATTGTTGTCATCACTGGCTGAATATGTATCCTCAGTAAACAAATGAAAAATAATGAGAGAACATTTCTTTAATTCACAGTGCTCATTGACCTCAATATACACATGCAAAGTCTGAACTATCATCTAGTTACCCTAGTTAGGAGGTTGGGAGCTATGGTGCCTAAAGCTCCAAATGTGCTAGGCCTAGAACTGTTGACCTGGTCTAAGTTAATATTTTAAAAGTTTTATAAAGTACAGTACAGGCCAAAAGTTTGGACACACCTTCTCATTCAATGCGTTTTCTTTATTTTCATGACTATTTACATTGTAGATTCTCACTGAAGGCATCAAAACTATGAATGAACACATGTGGAGTTATGTACTTAACAAAAAAAGGTGAAATAACTGAAAACATGTTTTATATTCTAGTTTCTTCAAAATAGCCACCCTTTGCTCTGATTACTGCTTTGCACACTCTTGGCATTCTCTCCATGAGCTTCAAGAGGTAGTCACCTGAAATGGTTTTCCAACAGTCTTGAAGGAGTTCCCAGAGGTGTTTAGCACTTGTTGGCCCCTTTGCCTTCACTCTGCGGTCCAGCTCACCCCAAACCATCTCGATTGGGTTCAGGTCCGGTGACTGTGGAGGCCAGGTCATCTGCCGCAGCACTCCATCACTCTCCTTCTTGGTCAAATAGCCCTTACACAGCCTGGAGGTGTGTTTGGGGTCATTGTCCTGTTGAAAAATAAATGATCGTCCAACTAAACGCAAACCGGATGGGATGGCATGTCGCTGCAGGATGCTGTGGTAGCCATGCTGGTTCAGTGTGCCTTCAATTTTGAATAAATCCCCAACAGTGTCACCAGCAAAACACCCCCACACCATCACACCTCCTCCTCCATGCTTCACAGTGGGAACCAGGCATGTGGAATCCATCCGTTCACCTTTTCTGCGTCTCACAAAGACACGGCGGTTGGAACCAAAGATCTCAAATTTGGACTCATCAGACCAAAGCACAGATTTCCACTGGTCTAATGTCCATTCCTTGTGTTTCTTGGCCCAAACAAATCTCTTCTGCTTGTTGCCTCTCCTTAGCAGTGGTTTCCTAGCAGCTATTTGACCATGAAGGCCTGATTGGCGCAGTCTCCTCTTAACAGTTGTTCTAGAGATGGGTCTGCTGCTAGAACTCTGTGTGGCATTCATCTGGTCTCTGATCTGAGCTGCTGTTAACTTGCGATTTCTGAGGCTGGTGACTCGGATGAACTTATCCTCAGAAGCAGAGGTGACTCTTGGTCTTCCTTTCCTGGGTCGGTCCTCATGTGTGCCAGTTTCGTTGTAGCGCTTGATGGTTTTTGCGACTCCACTTGGGGACACATTTAAAGTTTTTGCAATTTTCCGGACTGACTGACCTTCATTTCTTAAAGTAATGATGGCCACTCGTTTTTCTTTAGTTAGCTGATTGGTTCTTGCCATAATATGAATTTTAACAGTTGTCCAATAGGGCTGTCGGCTGTGTATTAACCTGACTTCTGCACAACACAACTGATGGTCCCAACCCCATTGATAAAGCAAGAAATTCCACTAATTAACCCTGATAAGGCACACCTGTGAAGTGGAAACCATTTCAGGTGACTACCTCTTGAAGCTCATGGAGAGAATGCCAAGAGTGTGCAAAGCAGTAATCAGAGCAAAGGGTGGCTATTTTGAAGAAACTAGAATATAAAACATGTTTTCAGTTATTTCACCTTTTTTTGTTAAGTACATAACTCCACATGTGTTCATTCATAGTTCTGATGCCTTCAGTGAGAATCTACAATGTAAATAGTCATGAAAATAAAGAAAACACATTGAATGAGAAGGTGTGTCCAAACTTTTGGCCTGTACTGTATACTTTTTATTCACCATAAATGGACTAATTGTATTAAAGTGTGAAGCAAGTAAGTAGTTTGTTTGTTATGTTTGATATGCGTATTTCTCGAGTGGTTGCTTTGGCCACTCGGCGCCATTAGGTCCTGCGGTGTTAACAATAACAGGTGAACTGAATTAGGACTCAGCACATCAACTGAGGTCAAGCCAGCCCTCACTTTGAAACATTTGGTCAAACCAGCCCTCACGTTGTTTTGCAGTGCGCGCATATACTACACATTACAGCAAGAGCGAGAAAGGACTGATTTCAAAGTAAAAGCAAGCTTCCAAAACGACCTCAGGGTGTCACCCAGAAAACATCAGGTCAATCTGATGTAGCATTTCAGAATAAAAGCCCTCTGAGCTGTCACATTTTACTGTACTCCTTGTATAATAAGAATAATATATATTTTTTTTTAAAACTACCTGTTATTACTCAACCATTCCACTTCAGACTGATAGTACGACCTCATGGTGTCACCCAGAAAACATCAGGTCAATCTGATGTAGCATTTCAGAATAAAAGCCCTCTGAACTGTCATATTTTACTGTACTCCTTGTACATTAAGAATAACATTAAAAAAAATACCTGTTATTACTCAACCGTTCCACTTCAGACTGATAGTACACAACCTCCGAGTGCCACCCAGAAAATATCAGGTCAATCTGATGTAGCATTTCAGAATAAAAGCTCTCTGAACTTTCATATTTCACCGTGCATCATGTACATAGGATTAGTGAGGGCTGACTTGACCTCAGTGCACGGTCATAAGTTACCTGTCCGTGTCTTCTGCCGTTCTCGTACTGTCCTTGATAAATGTCTCCGTTGGGCAGAACAGCTTTACCGACTCCGTGTCTCTCTCCAGCTTCATTTCTGTCTCCTTCATATTCCTGCGCCAAACAAACCAGAGTTTGTATCCAAAGACAGAAGAAATAACGCCACCTGTCTTCCTACCAACACACACCAACTGCTATCAGCAAACGGGGTAAGTTTATGCTAGTGTAGGCAGGTTTCTTCCTTCTGTCTTATCTATAAACTTAGTAGTTACTGAATTATGTATCAAAGTGCTGTGGGTCAAGTGAGGACACGGTAACGCCTCTTCCTCCCCTTCCGTCTCCCAAAGAATGTACGACAACTGCAAATCGTCAAGAGTGGTATCTCCCATTTGATATATCACTCCGCCAAACTTCATAACTCTACAGTCTATGCTTATTACCTGCACGTAATGTGCGCGATATTAAATAGTTCCCAAATGTAATGTGAGGAGCAAAATAGAATATGTGTGAATGTAGTGAACATTAAATTATGTAGCTGCAAAATAATGAACAGAGAATTACAAGACAATCTACTTGATACGTCCTCACGAAAATAAATGTATCCAGTAACGTTAGCTTCAGCCAGCTAACGTCATTACAACAAACCGAACTGAGTATCTAACATGTTCATCCTCTCACCCCGTGTTTACTGCGTTCATCATCAAACTCATCAGATCCTACATCCGACATTATTCTATGTCACTCTCAAAGTGTGGACGATGTAAAGTTTTAGTAAAAACTGTTAAGATGCTCAGACAGCTCTGTGCGCGCTTGCTAGTTTACGGTTGCCGTGACAGCAGTCAATTCACGTGACCAAGAGTTGTGGTTAGGGACTGTGCGTTACTTATGAGAGGGGTGGTGGTGGTGCACAAAAGGGGGAGGAATGTCAAACTATTTTTTAAGCACTGAGGAGGAACTTGTGTTTATTATTTTGGCTCACAGGAAGGGCATATGACTTTAAATTGTTGTGTTCTGTATTTACTTTGCTGCTATTTGTTCCCATCATGGCACCCTGACACCACTGGGCTTTTAAATGGCTCCTTTCGGAAATGTTTAAATTAAAAAAACTTAAGAAACTCCCAGATGGCTCAATTGACAAGTCAAAAGTAATATGTACCTTGTGTCATACTTAACAAACATAAAACAAGACATATACATGTATAAAAAAAATCTCATTAAGAATGTGGTCAAGTAAAAGTCAAGTGAACAACTAAACATCCAAACACCTTAAATTGCATTAGACACATAATTCATAACAAGTCACATATGAAGACTTTATTTTTATAAGACACATATAAATCAATATCAGTTACAAAAACTAAACATTATAACATATCAAACATCTTTCCATCTTTGTTGGTAAGTTTGGTTTACTTTTGGGTTATTGTTAATGTGTTGTTGTTTTTTTTAAACCTGCCTTACTGGGTGCTTCAGTTATCATCTTTCGTAACTTGTTCCACATTGTGATGGCTCAATATATTACAGATCTGCAGTATCACAATGTTGGTCTCTCACATAATTATGCGAGTAAAGACAAATTGGTTGTTTTTTATGACGAACATTCTTAAAAAAAAACAATAGATTGCATGTCAACCTGTCCTCTGCTCTGAGCCACAAGAGACTGGCATGTATTCCCTCTGTACTCTGTCTCACACCTACCAGACAGGACAGTGTGAGCCTTGCAGCTTTATTCTGAACTATTTGGAGTTCAGACAATTGTTTTTTTGTTTTTGTTTTTTTGCTGCACCTGACCAGACTGCAGAGCAGTCATCAAGATGACATAAAACTAGTACCTGTGTCACTAGAATCCTAGAGGCAGGGCTAAAAAAAAGAGGAACATCCTCTAATGCATGATATTCCTCTACAGAGGTACAGAGGCAGAGACAACTTGAACACTGATGGATAAACAAATGTTCTTTGTGACAATGTTACTAAATGATACCATGATACAAAAACTATCATTATTTAAGTAAAATTATGGTTTATTATATTATTTTTGTAGCTATAGCTTGTTTCCATCCAGCCAGGTTGTCAAAATAAAATAGAAGAAGGACTGTCCTATTCATAAACAGAGATATCAAAAATGTAACAAAAGGTAGTCCAAACCAAGAGTCCGAGGCACTCTGGGGTAGTGTAAAAATCCTTTAATAAAGCGGGGATATCAATGCGTTTTGACTATGCAAGTCTTCATCAGAATATGAGGATACAGATTGCACGCAGGTGTTTAAATTATGTCAAGCATGTGTTGGAGATCATGTGATTAAGTCATGTGACCAAATTGTCAGATCACGACAAGATAAAACAACTGAGTATTAATGTATAAATCAAAGCAGTAATCAATAAACCATGTGACCAGTGAGATGACAGACCATTAATACATGAATCAAAACAATCATCAAATTTGTATGTCCAGATTGTCAGGATACAACAAGAAAAAAATAATAACAAGACATAGATGTATAAGTAGCAGCAATCATCAAAATCATGTCAGGAAGTTGCAAGTAAAGGTAGGTAGCAATGTGTAAATCACAACATCCATCAAAGTCATGTGACCAGGCTAATTGAATACGACAAGAGAAAGTAACAAAGTATTAATGTATAGTTCACTAGCAATCACCAAAATAGTAGGACCGGACTGTCAAAAATACAACAAACCATAAAAATAAGCAGTGTTGGGGGTCGTTACTCAAAAAAGTAATGTTTTACACATTACACATTATCTAGGAAAAAAAGTAATCCCTTACTTTAATTGATTACTCCCTGGAGAAAGTAATTAGTTACAATACTCGTTACATTACTAGTTACTCTGTAAAATTGCCTGAAATGCATTGTCACTTAATTTGCCAGTTAACGATATAGCATTAAACCTTGAATATGTGTAACAATCCTAAGGTAGGTATAGTTACCTAGATGGATATACCCAGAGTCGGCTTCACGAGGGGGCCCCACAGTCATTTAGTTCATTTTTGCATATCAGCGGCATGTTCATCAGATAAAGAAAAAAAAATTGAATTTGTAAAATAGTAAGCGTGGTATCAATACTTAGTAGGACAACAGAGTTGTCAGCAGAGTTGTGCTGCAGAGTTGCTGTTGGGTCTGTGTCTGTGTTCTGTGTTTTTGTTTTGTCTGTCAGCTGGCTGAGGCGGGATCTTCTGTCATTCACAGCACCTGCTTCCACTACCGACCTGCTGCTCATCAACCTGATTGCCACTACTCACCTCCTCCAGTATTTAAACCTGGTTTGCTCATCCAGTCCTTGCCAGTTCTTCAGTTAGTTTCAGTGGTAAAACAACGTCCTGGCCTCTAGTCAACTATCTAGTACCTTTTGCTGCATGTATGTTTTGAGTCTCTACGTTTGGATTAATTTTCCTCTGTTTTCTCCCAGTACCATCCTGTCGCCTGCTTCCCCGCTTCGGCCAGCTCTGTTCCCACATTCCTGGTTCCGGTGTCCTGACAAATAGACCTACCGCCATAGGCATTTCTAGCCCATTTCTGGGGGTGCTGAAGCACTCCTTAATTGAATCCCAGCACCCCAAAAATTTGAGTCTGCACAGAGCAATGTGCTGCCTTCCAGAGTGGGTGATATGCAGTAGTGGTGTTAGTACCTGGCTTAAACCAGGATATGTGGCACATTTCTTAACTTCTACCACTCAATACCAACATTATTATTATTACCAGTCCTCATTTTTGCTGCATTTAATCGTAGGTCACTGTTTATGTTGTTAGATAGGAGTTAGCTAACGTTTTTTCTAGCTAGGAAACCTTACAGGTGGTCAGTACCACTGTCCTCTGTTTGAATTGGAATGAGAGAAGCTAGCTGTTGTGTCATTTGCATGTGTTAATATTAAAGCGCTACTGAGGTGCTACTGACTAGCTAACTGACTGGATGCACATTAACATTATAACTCCTATTGTGTGTGTGTGTGTGTGTGTGTATACATTGTACCATAGGCAGGGTTGCCTCTCTTTTATTATTTTATTATTATTATTTTTTAGATTTCAAGCACTTTTCTTTTTTGAAGTGTATTTTTATTTATGTATTTGTATTATATAATAGAGACAAGAAGGAAAAAGGAAGAGACAAACACTGAAAAAGTCAATTACTGTTAATGTGTTAATGTTACATGTTGTGCATTGCATTTCAAATAAAAGTCCAAAAAATAAGTCCAAGGTCCATTTTTGGTATTTTTGGTACTCACTATAGGGGGCTGGTTTACTCCAGAAGCATACATACTGTTTATGTGTATGCTGAGGAGCTGCTGTATCAAAATGAGTTGTCTTCCCCTAGAAATTAGGGTTACGATACGTTTCTTTTATGATTCCAGTCCATTCCTCTTTTGCTGTGGCTCAGCACCTTTTAAATAACCTTTATCAGATTTGATGGTTTAGTCACAGACTTCCCCAAAAAGTGTTGTGCTTTTCTTTCACAAATGTGGGAATGAAATTGCATTAAAATGTGCAAAACAGTGAAATTAATCTTGCCTGGCCGGGCAGCTCTCTGGGTGCTCAGCACCCCTAAACCTCTGATCCTAGAATCGGCCCTGCCTACCGCTCAGAATGACCTACCAACACGTTGTGTGCATGTGCAGAGCGAAAAAAAAAAAAATTCCAGAGGACACGCCCAAAATTTTAAACTACCCGGGATCTTCGCAGGTAGGAAATATCTATCAGAATGAACTATTACCTCTATAAATGTTATTAAAAATATGGTAGCTCATTCTGTCAGGCAGGAAATATCTATCAGAATGGACTCTTACCTCTATAAATGTTAATAAAAATATGGTAACTCATTCTGTCAGGTAAGAAATATCTATCAGAATGGACTATGACCTCTATAAATGTAATTAAAAATATGGTAGCTCATTCTGTCAGGTAGGAAATATCTATCAGAATGGACTATTACCTCTATAAATGTAATTAAAAATATGGTAGCTCATTCTGTCAGGTAGGAAATACGCGTGATGTATAAGCAAGCAAAAATGTTCCTTACCGCATGCTGCTACGCATGTCATCCATCTCAATATCTTTCGAAATTTCGCTCTTCTGATGGATCTGAGCTTGCTGTTTCTGCGAATGGGTCTCCATATACTGTGTACCGAGATGATGAGACTCCTGCATAAAATGCTGTCAAAACTGTCATTCATAATTTCCACCACAGCCTCCATAATTCAACCGGGAAAGAGGTAGAAAAAAGGCGCGCAATAAAAACAACAGCAACTAAAATACCCCCCAATCACTGAGATGCAGATTCGCACAGGACTAGTATTATCAAAGGACGTCTGTGTTTGGCGAAATATAGTAGGTAATTTGCAGTGGAGTTTTTACTTTACAAATTACAGACATGGCACATTCGCACAGGATTAAGATCACAGACATCCTCCGCAATTATTACAAATTACCAGAGGTCCCCAGGTAATACTAACTCCATGCGAATAGGGCTTTTGACGTATTTTGACAAAGAATTTTGTCAAAGAATGAGCACTTGTCTTCTATTGGGCTGCTCAAATTGTTGGTTAAAAAGCCAAAAGTCCCCCTTTGGGGGACTTTGAGAATGATTTTGCAAACACAGAGTGAAACAACGCAGTAATCACAAGGAATATAGTGATGCTGCACATCAAATTAAACATCAAACTTGGGCTACAAAACCCTTTTTACATGCCCCAAACACAGCTCAAACAACAACTAAATAAACAACAACAAATAAAACACCATACAGCACCGATATCCCAACCCACTCAACATATTTCGGGCTCTAAGTTACCTCGACGCCACGTTATGCAAAACACACGCCGCTCATCTCAATTGAAAGCTGAGACTCCGCTGTTTCCACACATATGTGCCAAAACACGCTAAACCAAACCATCAGAGAGCTAGAGGTCAAAGAAGAACAACAACAGAAATCTTTTCGCCAAAATATATTTGTAGTATTTCTCTTACCTTGTTGTTTTTGCCGGCACCTCCCCCACAACAGCGTTCTGCTGACTCTGATTGGCTTACAGTGCTGTCAGTCTTGTTTTAGTGGGTATAGCGTCATTCTGTTGGCTCTATCGAATCAAACAAGGTGTCAATTACTCAAATCGACCAATCCGTTGCGGAGATAGAGCCTCCAAAGCACAGAAGAGAAAATCTGCTTCCCATTTAGATGGTGTGTGTGTGGTCAGTTTGGAGTGGGAAATACATGACAAAAACAAAATGACAGTTGTATGTGTACAAGACTAAAACGCGGCCACTATGTGCTGGCCACTGGTATGCACAATAAATACACTTGTAATACAGAGTAGCCTGCTGCCTTGCGCGCATCGGATTCAAGCTAACATTAGAGGAAGGGGTGGGGCCCCTACTAAGGGGGTTTCAGAGCTGTGGAGCTGCAGAGGTGCCGTTGCACTGGGAGGTTTAAGATGGTTGTCATTGCAAATGTGTCTAATAGAGGGAATCGCCTTGTTGTTTACAAATACTTCCGGGTAGAAAACCAGCAGAGTTTGAGTGGCCGTCGGAAACCATTTTCGAGTTCAGGGGTCCCAAGCAATTGCCTGGTTTGCCTGTCCTGTCTGGGTGCCCCGAATGTATTTTCGGTGATTTACAATAGGTGTGAATCACCGAAAATACGTTTGGGGCTAGAGTCAAAACATCCGGGGCTGAAGCCCCAGAGAAAATTCTTGGTGACGCCACTGCCCGCAACCAGGGGTGCTTTCACGGCAGGCGTGCTTAATACGGCACAACACCGACTGGGCCCCCTGGTGAAGCTGACTCTGGGTATATCCATCTAGGTAACTATACCTACCTTAGGATTGTTGCACATATGTAAGGTTTAATGCTGTATCATTCACTGGCAAATTATGTGACAATGCATTTCAGGCAATTTTACAGAGTAACTAGTAATGTAACGAGTATTGTAACTAATTACTTTCTCCGGGGAGTAATCAAGTAGGGTAAGGGATTACTTTTTTCCTAAGTAATGTGTAATGTGTAATACATTACTTTTTTGAGTAACGCCCCCAACACTGCTACTAGTCTGTAGCTAGCTTATTTCACTATGGACATTAAGCTAACAGGTTCATTTCTACCACTCACAGACTATAGGCTACCCACCTTTCTTGGAGAAAAACTGGCTCACATATTGACCCTTTCTTTTGCTCTTTCCTTTTGTGAAAACTGGATTTTCTGTTAGTACTAGGTAGCATGATGATGACTGTAGCCCTAGAGCAACTGCTGACTGCTATTCATGACTAGGCACGGCCACAGTCAGTGCACTAAGGCAGGACCAAACCATTTCATGCAGATACAGGGGGGTGGTCAGTCAATATGGAGGCTGACTTTTTGGTCAATGGGAATATTTAACTTTTACTGCCAAAAACAAGTAAAAACAAAGAGATCATAATTTTATTACTATATTTGAAAAAAAACCTTTTTTTTTTAATGATGATGGTTTAATAATTTTATATTAATTTTTACCTACTCCCCCCCCCCCCCTTTATACATCCTGAGGTGCTGTACCCACCCACATTCCCACGCCCTTGCTCATCCCATTCTTTTCTATTGCAAAATCTGTTTCTGCGTGGCAAGCATAGACTGTATAAAATAATCAAGCAAGGGGAAAAGAGACAGACAGAGACACAGAGCACGGCCACCTGTCTTCTGTGTGCCTTTAACTATGACTGAGGCAGAGCTGTACACGCAGTACAGAGGGGTCCTGGTGAGTCTACCCTGTTACATGTTGAATTTACGCACAGTCATGATGTAAAATCCCCAATGATTGTTTAAAGAATCTTGCAAGTAGCCTAATTAACAGACCAAGTTTTAAACAAAGACTCTAAAGGGGAATTCCTAATGTTTATGTCATACAGAAAAAAAGGCGTTCAGTAGAAGTTCACTAGCACAGCCATGACAGTCATTTTGATCTGAACTGTTCACACCTATTTTCCTCTCCCCGTATTTGCCCCAAAAACAAAGTTTTTTTAGTGCTGCAGAAAATGTATGACCCTCCCTCGACCATGAATTAGTTATCAGATTTTTAAAACTTAACCTTGATGTCTGAAAGTTGGAAGTTGAAGATGATTTTCACTCCTGCCGTGCATGCTGGTTAGTCAGTGTGAACAGTTTGTTTTAAAGGAGACATAGAATAAGTGAATCTGATGAAACATCAAGATTTGAAGCTCAGATTTGGTTATGTTTTGCTTCTGACAGAAGCTTTAATCACACATGATGTGTCCAAAGACAGTAGAAAATTTGAAAATTCAATGACGATTTCTGTTTTTACAGCTTCAGGCTATGATAAATGGTGTAATTTTAAGCATTCATTCATTCATTTCCCACAACCACTTATCCTGGCGGGGTACACCATTTACAGGTCACCAGACTATTATAGGGCTGACACACAGACACAGACAACCATTCACTCTCACATTCACACCTATGGACAATTTAGCGTTACCAATTAACCTGCATGTCTTTGGACTGTGGGAGGAAGCTGGACAACCCGTAGAAAACCCACGGTGACATGGAGAGAACATGCAGACTCCGCAAGGAAGGGCTCCCCCACCCTGAGGTTCAAACCCCTTACCCTGGATTCGAACCGGGGTGGGGGAGTCTCCTTCTGTGAGGCAACAATGGAACATGGACTGTTTAGCAATTTCTTAAAAATCTGCAGTAAAGCAAATACAACATACAACCATTTAAAAATGAATGCCCCTCCCCCAGGCCAAAATAAAAAACATAAGTCACTCCCCACGGCTTAAAGAATTATTTGACATGCCTTATTGCACCACCCCTCTCCCCTCACAAGTAACGAACAGCTCCTAAGTGAAATTAGAAGAGAATGCTCCGTTTCGTGTAAATGATGCAATTTTGCTTCTTTCTTTTTTTTCTCAAATTCTATGTAATTATCAAAGATAGAGGTACTCATGATGCATGTAAACCATATATTACTCATATATTACATGTCATAGCTTGTTATCAAAAAATGGTACAGCACTTACATAGACTGGGTTTCTACTTGCTACTTTCTACTTATCTTTCCACCACTGGATATTGATAACTTACTCAAGAATGACGACTGTATGTTAATGGTTCCTCTGTATTAGCTGTGAAATGGAGAGAAAGAGAACCCTAATGAGTTACTTAACATCAACATTTGTTATTATTTTTTTGTCCCCTCAAGAAGAGCATTAACCCGTGTCTGGGACAAATGCTGAGATTGTCCGGTACATTGAGAATTTACAGAAAATTCATCATGTGATCCTTAATGACCCAAAGCTCTGTTAATAAATACCAAAAAAAATAATAAAGTTTATTGGTATAGCACTTATCAAACCAAAGTTAGAGAGTGCTTTATAACAACAATAAAATATACAGCTAATGTTTGACTAACCAGGCAAGCATCAGGGGAAGAAAGATAAGGACTGTATGAAACTTTAAACTGGACATTAACCCAAGAAAAGAAAAGACGAAAGTTTCCCAAAAACAAACACCCTTCTTGTTTAATTTAACATGTGGTTTCCTTTTTGTTGTATACTTGTCATGAAGCGCACAATTCATGAGTGTCATTGCATTCCACAGTGATAAATGTAAAATGACACCTTAACAGCTCTCATTATGGAGGGCCAGCATAAGAGCTAAATCAAAAGATAAATAGAAACAATGCACATAAGACATTAGTGTAATTATACCTTTGAGAATTCTTCTTGCTTTTCTTTGTTTAGGTACAACATGGATGCAGGAGATTGTCCCTCTGATCATGAGTGGAGGAGATCCAGCTTCTGTTGAGACTCTTCCTAACTGGGACCGTGTTCCCTGGCTGGAGGAGAACCGGGCCTGCAACCTTAACCTTGAAGAGAGGCCGTCTCCACGAATGTGTACAACACATTTCCTGTACAACATGATGCCTCCATCTTTCTTCAAAGTGAAGCCAAAGGTGAACCTATTATATAGTTTATGTCTTCTACAGGGTCCTCACAGTCAAGGAAAACCTGGAATCGTTATGAAATTTCACATTCACATCTTCCTGCCCTGGAAAAGAATTTTGTTTTGTGTAATGAAGTTGTTACAGTAATTTTTCTTGGATAATCTTTGATGATATGTAACATAACAGCTAATTTATTTTCTATAGCTGTCAATGTAAGGTAGCTCTAACTTGCATCGATGTGTAGTCTCGCTCACCAGACCTTTCTCAAGAAAAGAAAGGTCTGGCTGAGCCGACTCTCATTTTAAGATTGGAGAAAAAAACGCTCCGCCTGCTTCTATTTCTTTCAACCAATCACAATCGTTCTGGGCGGTGCCACAGCAATGGTGCGCTTGCAAAAATATTGGCGGGGGGGAAATAGGTTTTGGTGTAACACGCCCACAAAAATATCGCCTACAGGACGCGAACCATGGCAGAAAAATGGCTACATCCCCGCAAGATCAAACACCGCAAAAGTTAGTAAAGGACGTGTTGAAAACTGCAACCGGAGGTGTTAGGGCGGGACTTCAGCGGGTGGCTCGTTCCACCCAATGAGAGGCTGATCTATGCAGCGAACTTCCGCCCACTCAGACTAATCGATGTGTGACAATATTTTGTGTACATCACAAACGTTTCATCATTTTCTTCCTGCACTCCATCTCTCCCTTCATGTATGCCAGCAAGCTGAAATCATGTTTGCATGGGAAAAGAAAAAAAATTACCATGGGTCCTTGAAAAGTCATGGAAAAGTTTTGAAATTTGATCCATGAAAATGTGTGGGAACCCTGCTTTTATCATTAAGGCCTTTAAGAAATTAAATTAGTTTTAATTCCTGTGATACAGTTGGATTCAAGAGACACCTTAGAGCTTTGAGTTCAGAGGATTTTACATGTTGGGAAAGATGGAATCCAGTCACACAAACGTGGGTGCTTGGGATGTTCAGAAGTGGTTACTATAATGTTCCAAGCACTTGCTCATACAGTTAGGTCCATAATTATTTGGACAATGATACAGTTGTCATCATTTTGGCTCGGTACACCACCACAATGGGTTTTAAATGAAACAATGAATACCTGCTTAAAGTGCAGACTCTCAGCTTTCATTTAAGGCTTTTTTCAAAAATGTAGTATGAACCGTGTAGGAATTACAACCATTTCTTCACACAGTCCCCCAACTTTAAGGGCTCATAAGTATTTGGACAAACTAACATAATCATCAATTAAACAGTCAGTTTTAATACTTGGTTGCAAATCCTTTACAGTCAATGACTGCCTCAAGTGTTGGACACATAGGCATCATCAGATGCTGGGTTTCTTCCCTGGTGATGCTCTGCCAGCCCTTTACTGCAGCCGTCTGCACTTCCTGCTTGTGTTTTGGGTGTTTTGCCCTCAGTTTTGGCTTCAGCAAGAGAAACGCATGCTCAATTGGATTCAGGTCAAATGATATGACTTGGCCATTGCAGAACATTCCACTTCTTTGCCTTAAAAATGTCTTTGGTTGCTTTTGCAGTATGCTTCAGGTCATTGTCCAACTGCACTGTGAAGCATCGTCCAATGAGTTTTGAAGCATTTGGTTGAATCTGAGCAGATAATGTAGCCCCAAACACTTCAGCTTTCTTCCTGCTTTCATCCTCCTGATTTGCAACCAAGTATTAAAACTGACTGTTTAATTGATGATTATGTTAGTTTGTCCAAATACTTATGAGCCCTTAAAGTTGGGGGACTGTGTGAAGAAATGGTTGTAATTCCTACACGGTTCATACTACATTTTTGAAAAAAGCCTTAAATGAAAGCTGAGAGTCTGCACTTTAAGCAGGTATTCATTGTTTCATTTAAAACCAATTGTGGTGGTGTACAGAGCCAAAATGATGACAACTGTATCATTGTCCAAATAATTATGGACCTAACTGTATAAGGGGAATCTAATATAGAAAAAGTTATTTTATCTTAGCTTTGATGCACCATCCATTATAATACCTTAATGTATAGCATAATGCACAACATACTATCTTAGGATGGTGTTAGGCTAGCATAAACAAACAAAAGCAAGAGCAAACATTTTGTGTCTTATATGTGGTGTAGTAAATGTATTGATGTTTTTATGTTCGCCCTGAAGTAATTCTTTGAATTTAATAGAGTAAAATTGTGAGAACAAAACCTCGGCAAGCTAATGTGACTGCTAGCGTGTTAGCACTTAGCTCGTCAGCTACGGCACTTTACCAACTATCTCTACTCACTGTGACACCAAGCTTTTAGAACCATATATTTTGCAAAGACATGCGGATTAATTTCATTGTACCATCACTTTGTGGGTGTGCACTTATTGGGCTTGACTGACATCACTCCCTCCCTCTCCTGCTAGTTTGGTTGCACCAGTTAAGGCGGACATATACTTTTGTAAGATAACGTAGATAACGTAGCATTGCTCCAACCAACACGAAACTGAGAGGTCTAATCAAAATAATTGTTGTAATGTTTGTGAATGTGCAGGGCCTTTAAAGGTAATGAAACAGTCACTGAGCTATCAGTTTAACCTGAACTTTGCAAGCCCACAGCTGAAGAGAAGTCTAATCAGTCAAGTGAAAACACCTGTGTGGTTGTGCTATGGGGACTTGACTATGGTGAGATAAAGAGAAGAGGCAGAATAACAAGCGAAGAAGAGTATAAAGGCTAGAATGAGTACCATGCTGCTGTAGTTCTCAAACTTTTTTCAATTATGTGTTAAGGGGTGTACCGTTTATCTGCCTCACATCGGTATCGGCCGATATTCATCTTGTTGACTACTATTGGCCTATTGGGAAATAAGATGACATTCACTGATGGCAGTTGCAGATGTTTTTCCATTGCGTTACATACATTCTGAGCAGACTAAAAAGCAGGGCTTGAAACTAATGGTGCACTGTAAATGTCAGGACAAAAGAACACAGTAAACTGACTATTGTCGCGTCAGGGGATGCACCCTATTTTGTCCCCCATAATGCCACATTGTGAACACCAAATCCTTGACGACGTTGGCAAGAGGAGAGCTAGTTACCACTATCTGTTAGCAGCCATTGACTCGAACTCACTGCTGACGGAGGTTGCACTGGGTTTCATTATGATGCGATCAAGCTCTATTCAGTAAGGAGTATTGGGCAAAGGCAAATTATAATGTTGTTATGATGTGTTCATATATAATTATGTAGAGTTTCGTTTTTGGTGAAAAACTTGAATAAATAAGAGTTGTTTGAAGGAGAAATTTGTTGATGTTCTCACAGTAATATAAAATAGATATCAGAGAGGGAATTATGGAATAATATACAGTACAGGCCAAAAGTTTGGACACACCTTCTCATTCAATGCGTTTTCTTTATTTTCATGACTATTTACATTGTAGATTCTCACTGAAGGCATCAAAAATATGAATGAACACATGTGGAGTTATGTACTTAACAAAAAAAGGTGAAATAACTGAAAACATGTTTTATATTCTAGTTTCTTCAAAATAGCCACCCTTTGCTCTGATTACTGCTTTGCACACTCTTGGCATTCTCTCCATGAGCTTCAAGAGGTAGTCACCTGAAATGGTTTTCCAACAGTCTTGAAGGAGTTCCCAGAGGTGTTTAGCACTTGTTGGCCCCTTTGCCTTCACTCTGCGGTCCAGCTCACCCCAAACCATCTCGATTGGGTTCAGGTCCGGTGACTGTGGAGGCCAGGTCATCTGCCGCAGCACTCCATCACTCTCCTTCTTGGTCAAATAGCCCTTACACAGCCTGGAGGTGTGTTTGGGGTCATTGTCCTGTTGAAAAATAAATGATCGTCCAACTAAACGCAAAGCGGATGGGATGGCATGTCGCTGCAGGATGCTGTGGTAGCCATGCTGGTTCAGTGTGCCTTCAATTTTGAATAAATCCCCAACAGTGTCACCAGCAAAACACCCCCACACCATCACACCTCCTCCTCCATGCTTCACAGTGGGAACCAGGCATGTGGAATCCATCCGTTCACCTTTTCTGCGTCTCACAAAGACACGGCGGTTGGAACCAAAGATCTCAAATTTGGACTCATCAGACCAAAGCACAGATTTCCACTGGTCTAATGTCCATTCCTTGTGTTTCTTGGCCCAAACAAATCTCTTCTGCTTGTTGCCTCTCCTTAGCAGTGGTTTCCTAGCAGCTATTTGACCATGAAGGCCTGATTGGCGCAGTCTCCTCTTAACAGTTGTTCTAGAGATGGGTCTGCTGCTAGAACTCTGTGTGGCATTCATCTGGTCTCTGATCTGAGCTGCTGTTAACTTGCCATTTCTGAGGCTGGTGACTCGGATGAACTTATCCTCAGAAGCAGAGGTGACTCTTGGTCTTCCTTTCCTGGGTCGGTCCTCATGTGTGCCAGTTTCGTTGTAGCGCTTGATGGTTTTTGCGACTCCACTTGGGGACACATTTAAAGTTTTTGCAATTTTCCGGACTGACTGACCTTCATTTCTTAAAGTAATGATGGCCACTCGTTTTTCTTTAGTTAGCTGATTGTTCTTGCCATAATATGAATTTTAACAGTTGTCCAATAGGGCTGTCGGCTGTGTATTAACCTGACTTCTGCACAACACAACTGATGGTCCCAACCCCATTGATAAAGCAAGAAATTCCACTAATTAACCCTGATAAGGCACACCTGTGAAGTGGAAACCATTTCAGGTGACTACCTCTTGAAGCTCATGGAGAGAATGCCAAGAGTGTGCAAAGCAGTAATCAGAGCAAAGGGTGGCTATTTTGAAGAAACTAGAATATAAAACATGTTTTCAGTTATTTCACCTTTTTTTGTTAAGTACATAACTCCACATGTGTTCATTCATAGTTTTGATGCCTTCAGTGAGAATCTACAATGTAAATAGTCATGAAAATAAAGAAAACGCATTGAATGAGAAGGTGTGTCCAAACTTTTGGCCTGTACTGTATAAAGTAAAAAAAGACTTTTGAAGGACTTCTTAAACGTTTTTCATGTAAAAGAAGGTTATTTTAAAGGCTTTTTTGTGAATGTGTATGATTGATTTTGTGCTAATTCAAGTGTAATGAAGGACTTAATATTTTTAAAGATTTTTTTTTCATAGTTATGATTTCATTGTTTCCCTGACACAAAAGGGGTAGAAAATAACAACAAACAAATAAACAACAAAAACAAAGCAAAACAAAATATCAGAATTGGCTGTTATTTTAAACTTCAACCCAATATTTCAGAATTGATGCATCCCTAAATGTACCACCTTTAAAATATTTGTTGACAATTTATGGAAATTAACACGCACATAATATGAAATGGGGCTTATTGACCTACATTAACATTTTTATCAAACTTATTATACTGTAATTATTTTAGGAAGTATGTACAATTGTTTTTTTTATGATATTAAAGGTAGGATCTGGAGGATTTTCAAACAAAACAAAATATAGACATATACAAATAAAATCCTGCTTAATCATCACATATGGGCTTCTACTCATGTGTGGTGGTGACTCTGTTTGCAGAGCTCATGCCCTTTAACTGTATTTTGATGTTTTTGTGAGCTCTGACCGCTTCTGGGCGGAGATTTCCCCAGCCAATGAGATAGCGCAGGTGCCATGCCCGAGCGTGTCCGAGCGTGTCCGAGCCTGCTGTACCTCCGGGCTCTGTACACCCGGGAGAGTTGAGCCTGATAGGAGGGGCCAAATTTGAATGTGTGTTTACAAACAGCAACTAGAAAATCCTCCAGACCCTACCTTTAACATAAAAAAAATCCAACATACCCCCTGCAGTACTCTAAAGTACCCCTAGGGGCATGTAAGAAACATGGCCATACTGTATGCAGTTATTATGTTGATATATTATAACTAGTCCATAGCCATTGGTAGCTTTGCCACTCTCTACCTATGCCAATCCTCAATGCCTATGTGCAATTTCACATAGACTGACCACGTCAGTGAGTAGAAAAACGTGGGACAGACAGAATGACTGACTAACAGAGTGACACACTGACAGTTTCTGTGATTATGTACAGCATACCATACCATGACTTAGTCATACCAAAATTTGAAAAAAAAAACCCCACAAACATTGGGCCACAGGGGGAGCCACAGCGATCGGTTGCATTTTAGCCATTTTTAAGCATTTTTCTGTTGTTATAGCGCCACCCAGTTGCCAATTAGAGTTAAATTTCTCCAGTCACCTTGAGGCGTCCTGTTCTACATATCTACCAAGTTTAGTAAAAATCGATATGGCGGTTAGGCCTAATTAAGAAATGAGCTCTCTAGCGCCCCCATTTTGTTTGATTGGGAAAAATAACTCCCGCTGCGCATCGGGGTTCTATTCCTGTCGGAAGTTATTTTCCCGGTATTCACCGGCTCATTATACATTATCCCGCTTATTACATGGCTAATTATCAGTTGAATAAATAATGTTGTCTGCCTCCGCTAAGTGCATTAAAACCGACCGTCAACTTTTGGTGAAAGTTTTGTACTCACCCAGGCTTAGTGGACTGAACCGAGGCATAAAACTCGCGTAAAATGTCATTAAGCATGACTGCCGAGTGTGTATTCAAATCCGTGTTCTTTTGTTTTTGGCAGAGAAAGTCCGTCAGTATAGTAGTAGTACAGTATAGTACAGTAGCCCATTTTGTTGTCTTTTTTGTATTTATCTCATCTTTCTCCTCCTCTATCACTTGAAGCTCTTCAGGTGTCAGTTCCTTGTGCTGTTTTTTGCTTGATTTTTTTCTTTCCTTCTCTCAAAATCCTTGTAGTGTCCCTAGCAACGCTGGGCTACACAGCAACTGTGTAATGACCGTTGCTACTAGCAGCGGTAAGTACACAGTAATATCAGACCGCTGAATGCCGCGACTGACCAATCAGAATACAGCATTTAATGAAGCCGTGTAATAAACACCTTTATGTGATGAGCTACGTCCTCCACAATATTCATTGCCTTATAAGGCCCGTTTCCACTGAAGAAGTTCCTGGTACTATTTGGGGGGCAGGAACTACTACAGGAACGTCCTCTCACTCGGCCCTCTCAACCGCATGTCTCCACTGAGAGAGCAGAGTAGGAGGAAGGTTCCTGTAAAGTTACCGGGCTCTGGATGTGACGTAATCATTGCGCGACAATTTTGACCGGGGCGACGTAGGGGCGTAGGGACGCCGTTAGCCGTTAGCGGTGTCTGTAATAACTCCGGTCACGGTCCGTGAAAAAAATATTTTTTCCAGCGGATGTCTTAGTTACAACATGATTGAGCTAACTGGAGTAGTTTCATGTCGTATACAACAATGGCAGGCTTTTAACAGATGACGTCCTGATGTTAGCTTTGCTGCTGCTGTTAGCTGTCCCTGTCAGCTGATGCTTTCTAGACATTGTGATTTCCCAAAACTGAATACATACCACACATAGCAACACAAAACTGCTTTGCTAGCTCAGTCATGTTGTAACTAAGATATCTGCTGGGAAAAAAAAAAAAAATTCACGGACCGTTTATTGAGTTATTACAAACGCCGCTAACAGCTAACAGTAAGCCTAGCTAAACTACAATAACCACATGTTGTTATTTACAAAACGTCACATCCCGCCTTGAGTATATCCAATCAGCACCAAGTAATCCCCAAGCCCCAGCCAGGAGTTTCTCGGGGCCGTTCTGAGTACCTACTCCGAGGCAGGGACTTGTTTAGGCCCTGTAAAAGTTCCGGAACTCTGTCCTTCGGGGGTGGTTCCTGCGGTAGAGACACGCACCAACGGCCCCGGCCCCATAAAAATTACACCGAAGTTCCTGCGGTGGAAACGGGCCTATAGAAGCTCAGTTTTAGTAAGTTTTCCAACTTTTGCCAAGAGGGAACTTTAGATATTGGTGCCTAGATTATGTTCACCGAGTTTCATGCAGATCGGTCAAACTTCTTACGAAGAGATCGATTTTAAGTGTTTTTCAAAAAATTCAAAATGGCGGAAAATCTATATAACTGGAAGTTATGGGTTCTTGAGGCAAATTTGTTCCTCATGAGGAGAGGCATCTTTGCGCAAAGTTTCATGTCTCTACGACATACGGGGCATGAGATATGCCCATTCAAAGTCTGCAATTTCAGTTGGTTGCTATAGCGCCCCCCCTTTGGCCAATTGATGTAACATTGCTTCATTCGCATCCTCCCATGACCCTCTACTGCTGTGCCAAATTTCACATGGATTGACCAAGTCAGTGAGGAGAAAAAAGTGGAACAGACACACACACCCACAGACACACACACAGACACACACAGACACACCCACAGACAGAGTTTTCATCATTATATAGAAAGATTTAAAAATCACATACAGTGGTCATTATTTATTAGAACTTAGCCATTATTTATTTTTGTCTGTTTGACCTGTGGTTGTCATGCTATGATAAGAAAAACAGGCCTGCTCTTTCTCTCTTTAGCACGTGGTATAGTCATACAGAGATGTTGACAAGAAATGGCACATTAATGCTGTGTGGCAAAGTAAAGCAGAGCAGATTGCAATGTCATGTCATATTTCACACACAATATTTTTAAGACTGAAAAGGTTTGGGTCTTTAAAAGCTCCATAAATGATTCATGGATGTCCTATCTTCACTGCAGGTTACCTATGTGATGAGGAACCCCAAAGATGTGTTTACATCTTTGTTTCACTATCACGGGATGGCATCCTTCCTGTCAAACACAGGCACACAGAATGAATTCCTCCATAAATTCCTCGATGGAAAAGGTTGTTCTCGTTGTTACACCACAACATACAGTATTTATTCATAATACAATAGACATTACAGTAAGTGACAGGAACCCTCAACTAAACTGTATTTTATGAAACAGCTGTGGTCTTTAACCTGGTCTATTATGGGTTATGTTCAAAGACCCATGAATGTCAATGCAAAGAAAACACATTTCATAGTTTTCAGGTTCTAATTTGCTCATGGTAATGGAATACCTGTGGCTTTCCCCCCTCTAGTCATGTTTGGCTCATGGTTTGATCATGTGAAGAGCTGGCTGAATGCTGAAGCTAAAGAGCACATCATGTACATCTCCTATGAAGAGATGATTATGGTGAGATTTAGTAACAATCTTCAAAATAGCCCACTAGAATCTCTTCTGAATATTTTCTTAACAATACTGTCCTCACAAGAATACACAGTCATACAGTGAGAATTGTTGCAGAAGTATGAGATGATGTGTGTTCTCTGTGGGGCAGGACCTGAAGGACTCTGTGGCCAGAATCGCTCAGTTCTTGCAGAAATCTCTGGACGCTGAGGTGATAGAGAAGATAGTAGACCGATGTTTGTTGAAGAACATGAAGAAGAACAACATGTCAAATTACTCTGTTGTTCCTCGTGAAATCATGGACCAGACAAAGTCAGAATTTCTCAGGAAAGGTGAGTTCCAATAAATAATACATTTACAGTACATGTTCAATTCCACTGTTATTGGATATGATCTATGGAGCTTAGAAACACTGACAGGCAATGACTACCTACACAATACTACTGCACACTCAAATACCATACTGTATTTCTATTGAGCAAAACGATAATTTAAAAGAGAAACCGTTTAATGTACCTTTCCTTCAAATGTAATATGATTCCTTGTTTTGCATATTGCGTTTCAGGGATTGCTGGAGACTGGAAAAACCAACTAACAGTGGCAGAAGCAGAGTACTTTGATGCTGTTTACAAAGACAAAATGAAAGATGTCAAATATAAATTTGTATGGGATTAAAACTAACGAATAAAAGTCTTCACTATACTGTGATGCACCAAAATCTTATTATCTTTCTCACTGACAGACCATTAGAGTCTCCCCTCTTATTCTTTAATGACTGTAAATGGTGTTTGCATTTTTGTGTTGGCCACCATAGTTAGCAGCCCCTTCATGATGAGAGCATCAGAATAACACTGATTTTTTTTTTTTTTTATGTGAATTTGCTTTATTCAGTGTTTGTACCAGTTTAAATCACCAGGTCCATTTGTTCTGGAGAGGAGGAGAGTTATCAGACAGAAAAGGTGAGCACAGACTTGCAGGTTCTTCAGCTTGTCTTCAGGGACTGCTTTACATTTTGCAAGCCATCAGATGTCGCTTTGTTTGCTGCATTTGAAGCCCTAAAGCTTCAGTCTTTTACGTCACAAATAGAAAGAACGCCCAAAGCTTCATAGGAGGCTTCATTTGCCCATCCCTGCCTATAAATAAAAATATAATAGCAATTTATCATACATTCATCATATGGAACATTGTGCCAACTGTTGCTTTTTTTTTATTTCAGTGGTTCATTTCCTCAATACTATAACCAATGTATTTACTTGTTTAAGAGATTCAAATTTATTTTAAAAAAAAGGACAAATTTTGATTTGGTTCAGTTTGGTCTGTAAACTTCAAAACACTTTCAGTTATATACAGAAGATTTAAAGAATCTTAAGGATAGCCTAAAGGACTCGAACAAAGTCAAGTCAAAGTAAAATATGATACATTGTTTTAAGTATTAACTTTGTATGTTAAAGGAATACGTCACCCTCAAATTATCATTTGTGTATTAATTACTCACCTTGTGCTGTGTTGAACTTAAGAAAACTTTGTTTAATAAAATGACACCAAAACATCCATTTACAAACTCCATGTCTGATTTATCCAGTCATATGCTCAGTTCTTTCCAAACATGTGCGTTTTTATTTAAACCTTAGTATTTAAAACTGTACTCAACGTAAATCCATGCTCTCTTCAAAGCCAGACTCCATTGTCAAAAATAGCAATTTTACCTCACTGAACACAGGAACTGCTGCTCTACTGCTGCCTTGATCAGTAGTGTGTTTGTGTTATTGTGTGACTTGATTGAATCTGAACTAACTCTTTAAAATACCAAAGTTTTCAAACCTCATCTCCAGTGAGATTTGATGAGAATGGGATTTTATTGCAGGGTGGCACGGTGGAGTGGTGGTTAGCACTGTCGCCTCACACCAAGAGGGTTCCTTGTTCAATCCCAGGAGGCAGCCTTTCTGTGCAGAGTTTACATGTTTTCCCAGTGTCATTGTGGGTTTTCTCTGGGTACTCTGGCTTCCTCCCACAGTCCATGACATGCACATGCAGGTTGGGGATAGGTTAATTGGTGACTCTAAATTGTCCATAGGTGTGAATGTGAGTGTGAATGGTTGTCTGTCTCAATGTGTTTGCCCTGCAATAGTCTGGTGACCTGTCCTGGGTGTACCTCGGGGATAGGCTCCAGCCCCCCCACGACTCTCAAGAGGATAAGCGGTTAAGAAGATGGATGGATGGGATTTTATTGCAGTCCTTTGGAAGGTGGAAATGGGGGAAGATCTCCTGGAGGTTTTGTCAGTGGGGGTGATAATGTTGGACAAGTGGCTAAGTGTGGAAGGGTTGGAGCGAGGCAGAAGAAAGAAGGTTTGTTTGATCTGATGACGGTGGGATTCATGATGGTGTCCATAACATAGGCGCCCAAGTAATGGGGCATAAGTTTCATAGAATCAGTTGTCAGGGGAAGATCTTTTGAGGAAAGCCAAACACTCTGACCTGGTTAGTAATTGTGGGCTCAAGTAAGTAAGCAGTAAGGCAGTAAGGCCACCCATGTATCCATCCACCCTATGGCAACGGAGTTGGCCCTGGAGCAAGGGCACAATGAAGTCGTCACCATGAGGAAGGAACAGAGGTGGCCAGAAACAAAACCACATTCCAATAGCAACAGGGGTTGAATGGATTTTTGGAGGAAGGAGGAAGGAGGAAGAAGGAAGGATTTTTGGCAGTGATGCTGCGCCCAGGTCTTGGTTGGCCCACTCCGTTGGTCCGTAGATGGTAACCAGAATATAAAGTAGATATTAAAGCTTGACAGTGGGTCAGTGGGTAGTCCATGGCAGCCAACCACATGATTAACCTGGAGGCTGGTTGTTTCAAAGGCTGTGGGGAGCTTAGGGAGAGCCACAAAATGTACCAATATGGAAAAACATGTCCACTATGGTGGGTTTAACTGTATTTGTGAGGATGGAAGTCTAGAGATGATGTCAAGTGCTATGTGTAACCAAAGTTGGGTGGGAAAGGGCAAGGGATCGAGCAGGCCTGCAAAAGAGCACTAACCTTGAGTGAAAACTTTGAGGTAGATAATGAGGCCCGAGTGTCAGCATTTATGGAGGGCCACCAGCAGGGACAAGATGCAACTCATGCCAAGATGACCAGGAGCTGTGGACCCATTGAAGAACCTAAGAGCGGACAGTGTCAAGCACAAAAAGACAGCTACGAGGGCCATTACCCTTTTTGACAGGTTTTAAGGTGATTTACGAGCACACGCTTACTGATAGTTGTTTGAAGAGCTCAACATATCTCTATTTATAATGACTTTAGTTGTTCTTTTATATCAGACATGTTAGAATGTTACATACCTTGACATGTTTCAGCGGAAACTTCTGTCTTCCTCAGAAGTGTCACTAGGTGGTGGTTGTGACATGTCTTTATCAGTGTAACGATGTACCTTAAAATGACTCAAAGTCCACTCACTGGAACCTCATGTGAAGTATAATCTAAACAAAACACAAAGATCTCTGTGTGCACAGCTGTGCTCAGAAATGTTAACATTAGCCTCAGGTTGCCACAAGGTTGAAGGCCACACCAGAAGATGACAGAATTTGTTTGTTGTGTAATTTAGGTGAAGTTGACAATGAGGTTCATTTCTTGTTTTACTGTCTGGAATATGAAGATGTAAGGGATGTACTCTTCAGTAAAATTATCCTTATTTATGTTGATTTCTTTTGGTTGGATGATCATGAAAAATTTGAGTTTTGTTTCAGAAGGGGAACCTTTTTGTGACTGAATTTCTTTGCCTGGGGTGGGATAAAAAGCAGAGTATTTTGTTCAAGGACTGAACCGTAAAATTACATGTACTTTGGATTGCTCACTGCATTGTCATGGTAATGGTGTCTTAAAACCAATGAGGGTTGGGCTCACGTTTGTTTGTTTTGTTGTCATGCAACAAAGATAAATCATCTTTATCACCGTACACATCAAAGAAAGAATTCTGTGGGTGTGCACCAGAAAAACTAGGCGGGCCACATTTAGTTATCCTATGTTTTTGTCCTAATATCCCCTCTGCTATCACCTATTACTATCTCAGTGCATGTGCTTTCTTTTTGTTAACCGTAGCTGATAGTTACAGGCCAACACCGAAAACCTGAGCTTCAGGTCAATCATCATTTAGACCAGTAAAAGGATAACCCAGTGATGCCAGTTGTAACTTGGTACAACACATACATTGAAAGAGATATAAGTCTTTAACCCTTAGTCCACAGTCCACGTCTGCTTGTGACACTGACTACTGGGAATCTACTCATTTTTGTTTGTACTAACTAACACCTTGGAAATTCAACAGACATGAAATCACCTCTGAAACATATTGACTGTGCATCTGTGAGAGTATTATTAGTAGTATCACCCAATACAGCTGAATACACAGCTGTTTGTTGCTAGAAAAGATAGCTCTTGTGTTAACCATAGAGTATTTAGTGAAGAAACATGCATACATAAATAGTCATAGCAGTCATACAGGTTTGGTCAGTTGAGTAATAAGAACACTGCCTATTCCTGGCTGACACTACTGGCATCTACTCATTTTAACTCTGAGCCATGACTGAGGCAGAGTTATACACAGTTTACAAAGGGATCTATTTCCATTCAAAGGCGAACACTCAAAACTTCAAATACTTTGAGGAGTTTTCTTTTCAGCCAGATGATATCATCATAGCAACATATCCCAAGTCAGGTAAGCAGTTGTTCATGCTTGACTAGTGTTTGCATCATCATGCAACATTTATTATTTTCTATATCTTGAAGAAATTTGAAAAGTACTCACATTTTCTCAGTCTAAATGTAGACTATTGTTGAATCTTATTCTCAGACTAGCTTTGAGTGTAGTATGACTTAGTGGGATGGTGCTATTAGATTTGCTGAAACTTGTGCAAATAAAAACAGAAGCTTGTAAAAGTAAGTTAAGAATGGTCATTACCACAAAACTAGGTGAAGATACCAAGTAAAACCAGGGCCAGAATCCCCTACATTAACTGTTTAAAGCAGCTGATGTAATATAATGTAGGGGAGAGTGGCATGTCATGATATATGAGGTGAATGCATTGTTAATCTTTTTTGGGCCTTTTTTTTGGGCCTTTGGCCTTTTGAGAAAGAGAGAGCGGGGGGTGACATGCAGAAATGATCGCAAGCCGGAGTCGAACCTGCGACTCCTGCAGCGAGGCATCACCTCCGTACATGGGGCGCCGGCACAACCCACTGCTCTACCAATGCCCCGGAAATTAGATTTCTTGAAGTTCTCCTTTTTTTTTACTTCCACACCATAAACCCTGATTTGCTCACTCAACTCAAAAGTTTTTTGGAGACAGCTTGCGCTCAATATTTTTAGTTTAGTACAATACAGGAATTTAAACACAAAATAAATTTGTCACATGACCCTTGTTTGAGACATTTATGTCAGTTTAACATAACCTTTTCTGTTGTTGTTTGAGCATTTAATTCCATGTCATATGATGATAAAAACATTGAGTACACATTTTAAAACCTTTTTAATATTATACAACCTTAGGTTTCTCAATTGCGAGACTAATATAAGGCAAGAGATTTATTCTGAACTGGGAAATGCTCTTTATTTCACCTTAGCACAATTTCACGTTAGACACTAAGGGCCGAATTCACAAAAGGATTGCGTGGCTTTTATGGCCGCTAAACCAGTAAAAATGGAGCAAACA